ATCTATGCCTAAAATTATGGCTCCATTATAGGAGAATTGATTCTATCTAAAACAGAATAAGGAAAAGATAAATTCAAAATATATATACAAGATTATCTCCTAATATGTCATACTCATCTGTTAAACTCAAAGGCCACCTCTGAGAGTGAGACATTGTATTGTGTCTATGTAGCGGTTGGACAGAAACGTTCAACTGTGGCAGTAAGTCTTGTTTGGTAGATATGTTATTAGTGATCAATTTTTTCATTTACTTGATGACTCATTTGTTCTTTTGTCATTATGATTGAGTAACCATCCCTTTAACCAGTTACAATACTATTAATCAACCCTTTTTTATATCATTATAAGACCACATTAATAAACTAACATCCAAACTAAGCAAAAAGAATTTCTAACAAAAATAGAAAACCAGTCATAAAGAATAATTAATAGTTTTAAAGATTATAAGTTTTGTCTATCATACAACATAATATAACTTTAGATGGAATAGCTTGTTAACTTTGTTAGACTATCATACATATTTAATTAGTTATTTATGCATTCAATAAACATTAAATTACATATTCAAACTCCTACGCTATTTATATATTTGTAATAGCTAGAACAAGCGATGAAAACAATTACTAGTTTGATAGTAGATTAAAGGGCTAAGTTAACTCTCACTCGCTTAAGTAATAATTACCTTATTCCTTACTTTGTACTCCGTATTTATTAATAATCGATAAATAAATAATTCTCCTAAGATTGGAGTTCATCTAAGACAATGACCTTATATCCTTATTGATAATAAATACAGTAGTGATTTGAAAACGATTCTTGACCTATAAGTTGAGCAAGCATAATGAGTGTGCTTTAAAGAATGGGAAAAAGATAAATCGGATTTGAGATTTGGGAAAACTGCTGGAAGAAATGGACTAAAGAGAGTGAAGACTAAAGATGGTTACTACTTGTAAGCTGGCATGTCACATGGAACAACGTTGCTATGTCATGTGACTTCTTTTCTAACCTTTTTTTTGTCCCCTTTCCCACTCCTTAAGATACTATACCATTGCTCAATTGTATAAAAATGGTTCCACCCAAAAAGCTAACAAAAAACAATAAAACTCTCTTCGTCCGTTTTTATTTATTGTATAGAGATTTGTTTACTTTTTTAATTTTAACCATTAGTTAGATTGAGATGTGATGAAATTGACTCATACTAAATTATAAAATACAAAACTCAAATTTTACTAGAATTTGAAAATCACTTTACTCGTTTTAAATTGGTCCAACCTGAACGACCCAGCTAAATAATTCTAATTGGCAATAAGATCGATAATTACCCGATTCGAATCCGAAATCAACCTAAATAATTTTAAAAATGACTCAATTTGAACTAACATTATCAAAATCAAATCAATCAACCCGATTGTCACCTTGTATAATTCTCCTAAAATTTCGTGTAAAAGTTAATGTCACTAAAAAAAAATGAAACAACAACAAAATGAAGAATGGACAAACTGAAAAAGACAGTGAACTGCTAAACGTCGCTTCCAATTTACCAGGCGTCGCTCCCATTTTGACATGAAAGGACCATATTGCCCTTTCCATAACTTGGCCTATGTAACGCTCCACCACTTGGTTAAAAAGATTCCCGAGTATTTTAATATAATTCCCGAGCACATTCGATCCACCACTTGGTTAAAAAAATTTCTGAGCCCACCACATCCAACCCCACGACATCCAACCAAAAATTCCCGAGCCCACCACCAAAAATCCCATTTTTTTTTTAAAAAAATTTATTAAGCTTTAGTGACAGGTTTTAGACGATGGATGACGACAACAATCGTACACCGGAGGCATCGTCGGAGGATTATGTAAGTCCTCGAATTTTTTTAATTATTTTTTTGAAAAGCGTACATCCGCTTAAAATTTCCGATCCACCATGGAGGATCCATATTTTTTAGGCGGAAGTCCAATATATATATTTTTTTTGTTGATTAATTAATCAAAACGTTTTTTATTTTTTTGAACTTAATTAATCAAATTTATTAATGTAATTTTTGTATGATAATTATAATTTTATTGTGATTATTATTATTTTTGGATAATTTGAGTAATTAGTATTAGTATTATTAGTTAATATTAGTTATTTTTGTGAATTTTCTGTGTTTGTTTTTTTTATAAATTTCAGATTTTTAAGTTTATCGAGCATGAAATGTGTTGTAAGTGTCGTGAGTGAGTGTCGTGAGTATTTATATACAAAGGGTAAATACGAAATTTCAAGGAAAAAATACGAGCGACGCCTAGTAATTTAGGAGCGATGTTTAAACAACTCCCAAAAGACAAGGTGAGTAATAAACTAAGTAATAATAACAATCTAAAAGATGTGAAGGATGGCCACATTTGCCACAGAAACAAGCAAACTCTTCCATGAGCATCAATGGAAATTTCCTATGGTGCCCTTCCAGGGAGCTTGAGATATCACAATTGTGGACCACGTATACAAATATTAGGTGGAGCATTAGACAATTATAGTTAATTAATTCGTACCCAATTGACCACAATTATTGTCGAGATATGAGTAAAAGGTTCTTTGCTAAAACAGTGCATTTTTCTATTACGGACTTATGGAGTAGTATTGTACTACACTCAAGTCACTCTACTATCCAAGTGTGTACAGTGTACACTAGTGAATAGTGATGCATAAAACAGGGTGTGATAATTGATAAACACGTCTTCTTACACTTGGTAAAGCTTCGAAATTTTCACTACAAAATCAACCACGATTTTTTTATCTTCGAGTTATAAACCTTTTATCTGTTGTGAATATGAAAGAAAGAGAGCGATTTTATCATCCAAAGAAATAGGAAAATTAGTTGAATGCATTTCTTCAAAGATATATTGTATCTAGCTATCATTTAGCTATACGTAGGATATGTCAAAAGAAAAATTGTGTGCACATGCATGTATTTGTCAAAATAGCCGGGCGTTCATGTGTCTCATTATCGATCTCAAACCATCACCTGGCTCCCCCAATTTGATCATGTTTTATAACACATAGTTATATCATCTACAATGTAAAGTCAGGAAGAAAAATGGCATTATACTGAAATTTTTAGAGGTTGATCATGTCACTTAAATTTTAATAAAATGCAGTGAAAATTATATATGTACATATAACACATTGTACGCACATTGACAAAAAAAAAGATTAACTTATTATCTATTCACAAATCCATATGCATCGAAGAAGATGTTACCCAATGACCATGCGTTTCAAATGAAGTTGTATAGAAGGTTTAGTTGATAATGTTTTTCATGGAACACGAACAACTAGTGGAATTGGCGATATGAATTCGTTTCATATCCGTTAAAATACGTATCAACACTCAGTACAATTTGAAAATGCTAATCTAATCACAAAAAGAGATAAATGATGTGGGAAAATTTGATAAATTTTAATAACTTGAGACATTAATTATCATTATAACTTTGTGGGTTACCAAATGAACTCATAGTATTAATGTATCATTAATTCATCATGTGTTTAAGTCTTGAAAAAAAATATGTTATATATCTATTCTATTAACTATTATTAAAACAAAACATTGCTGACATCATCAACCCTCAAACTGTCCCACGTGTCATTTTCACATTAAAAATTTTCCCTCCAATTCTATGTGTGATGTCATCAATTATTAATGGTTTTTTTTTATTTTTATTTTTAATCTACACTTTTGATTTCAATTTAACCAAGTTTCTCTCCTAAATTATAGTTTCACATACCTAATTTGTTTGGCGTTTGATCGTTGTTTCAATTTTTTTTACTTTCCTTAAATGTAATTTAAATACTTTTGTATCTAATTCTAATCTTCATATAATATAATGCAACAGAATATAAATTACAAGAAAGATTTATTCAAATCGTGCATCATACCGGGATAACCTAGTATATACAACAAAAATTGATATGCAAAGAACACCTCCAATATAATTAGTATTTCAAACACTGTCATTTGGTGTCGTGTCAACTTGGAATAGTATTGCTCCATATCATAAGTAAATTCACAACATTCGAATATCAGTCTGTATTTCATAATCCAGTGCAACATTTATTTATAATTACAAAATAAAACGTATTTTACTCCGTGTCATTATAGCTAATTGGCATCATAATCACCACGTGTTAATTTTTGTGGCATGCGTAACAAATATCGATCAAATGGGAAGACTCCAATAAGGCAATAACATGAAAAAAGTAAGTCTACCAAATGTGCTTGCGATAGATAAACACATGTGACTCGTAGTCATTTAACTTGTGATTAAAATCGTGTTTTATATACAAGATTTTGATTCTTATTTTGTTTTCATTTAATTTAATATTTACGATATTTTTGTTTTTGATTTTGATTTTTTTTATTTTTTTAATTCGCAACACTATCTAATGATTTTGTAAAATTTTCACAAGGCCAAACATCAATTTCTCAAATCTTGACAACTATACTCGAGTAAGCAAGATCTTTCAAATGTGTTGTTAAAAAAATCAAATCAAATTTGAAAAGTACTAAAAAAATACAATAAAAATGGTTGAAAACCCATGAAAAATTCAAAAAATTACAGGTAATCGTGAAAAAGGCCGGTTGGCCCGGTTCACTCCCTCACTAACAATATTGCACGATTGTAGGGTGCCGATTAAATACCTGGGTCCCACATTCATCCAACATCACATCAGCGGGAAAATCCCAGTGGGCATTTTCGTAATTCAACTCTCAAATTTTAATTTTTGAATTAATCTCTAGTACGACGTGGACCCCACATTCGTATAATAAAATCAAACTTCCCACCTCACATCAAATCCTAACCGTCCAACACAAACAATCCGACGGCATCCAACGGCGCTTTACAAAAAAGGAGGGAAAAATCTCTGACCGTCAGATCTATCAGTTACTCCATCTCTCTTTCTTTCAAAAAATTAATTAAAAATAAATATTTAAAAAAAATTCATTTTCTTAAATTTTTTTATTTTCTCTCTCTTCTTTCTTTTATTTAGCCATATATCTAGGGTTCATCCTCTGCTTCACTCCTCACTTCTCTCTCTCTAGAATTTTTCTCTCTCTAGAATTTTCTCTCTTATCACTCTCGCATTTTCTGCGTCAATCGTTGGCGACATTCTCTGTAAGTTTTTCTACTTCGATTTTTGAATTTTTTCGTTGTTTGTTGAATTTCTGTATTTTAGTTTCAATTTGAAATGATTTTGTTTGATTTGATTGTTCATAGTTGCTCAAAATTTCTTGCATTTTGTTTGAATTCCTGCTGGTTTTTTCCTTCGATTTGTTTTCGTTTTTGTGTTGAGCTTCAACATCGAAAGTTTGAATTGGTTTGTTCGTCAATTTGTTTCTTCAAATGGCTCGCATTTGGTTTAAATCTGTTTATATTCTTATTTTTGACGAGTTTAAGCATCAGATCTCTTTGTAAAAAAAGCTTCGATGTTGATATTTGTTTGTATTATGAGGTTATAGTCATTTGGATGAATTATTGTTGAATCGGATGAGAGAAATGGCACTTGCGACCTTCAGATCAAGTAGATCGACCTTTTAATGGCGGATTTTGTAGGTAGTTTGAGCATGATATTAATTAAACATGTCGATTTATCTGGAAAATAATTAGAAGTTTGTGATTGAAGTTTTTTTAAATAATTGATTTGATGAGCTATATGACTATATCCTACACTTGTATTTTGAATATTTTAGGTTTTTATATTAGATATCTGGGACTGCAGATGTATGTATCTATGCCTGTTCATGTTTTATTGTTTGACTAATATGTATAATCAACATATTGATTAATGTCGGTTCGGAATTGATTGCAATTTGCCGAGGTTTCGTATTCCATATGTCCTGATGTAGTTGTTGCATTATTATTGATTAGGTATACTTCCTAGTAATGTTTGCTGAAATGTGATTTACTTGTTATTACAGTTCAAAGATGAGGGAAATCCTTCACATTCAAGGAGGACAATGTGGAAACCAAATTGGATCTAAGTTCTGGGAAGTTGTTTGTGCCGAACATGGTATTGACCCAACCGGAAAATACACCGGAACTTCTGATCTTCAGCTCGAGAGGGTCAATGTTTACTACAACGAGGCCTCTTGTGGTCGATTCGTTCCTCGTGCAGTGCTCATGGATCTGGAGCCTGGTACCATGGACAGTGTGAGGACTGGTCCTTATGGTCAGATCTTTCGCCCTGATAACTTTGTGTTTGGTCAGTCTGGTGCTGGAAACAACTGGGCCAAGGGACACTACACCGAGGGTGCTGAGCTCATTGATTCAGTTCTTGACGTTGTGAGGAAGGAGGCTGAGAATTGTGACTGCCTTCAAGGTATAACGCTTGTTCATTATGTCTAGTTATGTTATGAATTGCTCCAGAATAGTTGATTTTTGCTTATGCATTGGTAAACTATGAAATATGGTAAATTAGCCCTGCTCATTTTCTTGCTGTTATTCTTGTAGGTTTCCAAGTTTGCCACTCTCTCGGAGGTGGAACTGGTTCTGGAATGGGTACATTGCTTATTTCCAAGATCAGGGAAGAGTACCCTGACCGAATGATGCTTACTTTCTCGGTGTTCCCATCACCTAAGGTTTCTGATACAGTGGTTGAGCCCTACAATGCTACCCTTTCAGTTCATCAGCTTGTTGAGAATGCTGATGAGTGTATGGTACTCGATAACGAGGCTCTTTATGATATTTGCTTCAGGACTCTCAAGCTTACAACTCCTAGCTGTAAGTATACTTAAATCTATTTTTTGTTGGATAGACACTGTTGACTAGTTAATTATATTATATCAGTAGTTTTATCTTTTTTGCATGATACATTCCTAGTTGAGTTTCTATTCTATAAACTTTTCAAAGGAAATGTGATTGAATGATTGGGTGCAAACTTTTGTTTACCATTAAAATTTGTCATAGGATTGTTGCATTTTCACAAGTATGGTAAATTGGTAATTATTTTGAAATATGGAAAATGTCATCAAAATTTTAGCCTTGGCAAAGTATAGTAGAATATTGAAACTTTGATAGGGTGGCATTGCATATCAAATTTTGAATGTTTTTGAAGTTTGGCCTTTACAAACTGCCTTTTTGGATCAGCTTATGAGTTCTGTTATTTTTACACAACTTTTAAGAAATTTATTTTCATTTCGAAGTTGATTGTTGATAAAATTTCATTTTGCTCCAGTAATAACCTGGGTTTGTGTTATTGAGCTGCTCCATTGCTCCATGTCCAATGGTCAAATTATAAATTTGAGTGAATAGTCTTTTTTAATCAGAAATCGATTTCTTTCTGCTGGTTAACAGTTGATAAGGTCTATATTAATGCTGTATTGAGTGCTGACAGATTTTTTTGTTTACAGTTGGTGATCTGAATCATTTGATCTCTGCTACCATGAGTGGTGTGACCTGCTGCCTGAGGTTCCCTGGTCAATTGAACTCTGACCTCCGCAAACTTGCTGTGAATCTCATTCCCTTCCCTCGTCTTCACTTCTTCATGGTTGGATTTGCCCCACTCACCTCTCGTGGGTCTCAGCAATACCGTGCATTGACCGTCCCTGAGCTCACCCAGCAAATGTGGGATTCAAAGAACATGATGTGTGCCGCCGATCCCCGTCATGGCCGTTACCTCACTGCTTCAGCAATGTTCAGGGGTAAGATGAGCACCAAGGAAGTTGATGAGCAGATGATCAACGTCCAAAACAAAAACTCTTCTTACTTTGTTGAATGGATCCCCAACAATGTGAAGTCCAGTGTTTGTGACATTCCTCCCATTGGTCTCTCCATGGCTTCTACTTTCATTGGTAACTCCACTTCAATCCAAGAGATGTTTAGGCGTGTGAGCGAGCAGTTTACTGCTATGTTCAGGAGAAAGGCTTTCTTGCATTGGTACACTGGAGAGGGTATGGATGAGATGGAATTCACTGAGGCTGAGAGCAACATGAATGATCTTGTGTCAGAATACCAGCAGTACCAGGATGCTACTGCTGATGAGGATCTCGAGTATGACGAAGAGGAGGAAGAGGACTACCAGGTGTAGAGAGGAATTTTGCGAGCTTCTCAGTGATTTTTACAATCCTGAGGTTTGTGGTTCTGGCAGAGCTTGACTTCAATGCCGTTACCGCAAGTTGGAAAAAGCCCTGTTTTCCCCTTCCCTATTAGTTATAATATTAGCAGTTTAATTAGTAGTTTGGAGATATACTCAAATCTGCTATTCTATTGCCGAAGTTATACTTGGATTTAGAGCTGTTTGTTAGGCTCAGTGCATTTTAAATGGCATGGATATAGTTGTGTGATAAGTGATGTGTATTTTTATCATCGATTAGGACAGTTGTTTTCTGGCCATTGTATCGGGATTCAAATTTGAGGCAGTCGTTTGTAGTTTATGACCTATTTTGCAGTATTATTGCTGTTAAGAAGAGTATACAAGACTCATGTAGCGTATATGGAGTAAGTTCTCTTTTGTACAGCTGCTATCATCTTGTCTAACCTGAACCGAGCACCTATACCCTGATCCAGACTTGTACTGAAGAGGTCGGGTTGTATTCACGGGGCTAACATGTGATGGTGTACATACATTAATCATCTCAACATGCATCTGCACATGGCCGTTTGTTGTATGTTTTTGCATAGAGTTGCATCTGCACATGGCCTATATTGTAAGAAATACTTCGTACTCCATGAAACCTTTATTTGGGGTGCTCACCCCAATGTTCTCCATAGTTATTTCCATAATCAACTGTCATATCCAATTGCATTAACATTATTCCTGTAATTACTAGCATCATCACCATTTATGATGCTATCATTGTAATTGTTGAACCTAAAGTCACCCCCTGTTGATGGACACCAATGTTAGCTGCTGTGAAACAATGAAACGGCCTGCATCAGAGTGGTCTAATCGTTTCTGAACTCATCTTCATAGCCGTGCATTGCTATGGCTGAACTCATCTTCATTTTGGATGATGAATGTCATTGAGGCGTCACATTCTCCCCAATCGCAGCTTTTGGTGGTAAGATTGTAAACTCCACGGTTTCTGTCTGGAGTGCGTAAAATATTAAGTTTAATAATTTCTTTAAATACGACGGTCTTATGAATTACAGAGTACTATATATATACAAGTAGCATAGATAGTGAAAGTTTCCTAACCAAGTAAAAGGGGAAAAACAATAATGCAAATATTTTGACACAAATATTGGGTTTTTGCTACTGAATAGATGTTCGGATAATTGATGCAACATGGTAAGTTGGTAATTTGAAAGTTTTCAGTGAAGTAACGAGAAAATTGTGGAAGACGAAAAAGGAAAAAGGAAGAGGCAAGAATGCACGTGTATTGGGGGAGTAAAAGCATGCATCTAGTGACCCCAAATTCACATTATAAAGTTCATTATTCTATACCACTAGTAGTACTAACCTCACTTCCAATCTACCACCGTCCACCGACGTTTTTTGTTATTTCAATGAAATATTTTATTTTACGATATAGAGAGATAAAAAGCCGTTAACGATAACGATAAAATATACTCCGTAAAATATAATTCGATTATAATGCTGAAAATTGTCATTTAACAAAATTAATTAAGCGAGCTAATGTCTACATATATTAATGGGAAAGTTCTTATCTTATGAATTATTAAAAAGATATAATTCTCCAAAGATTAGGCTTTCTAATTTAGGGCTCGAAACCCAATGCTCGGCTTTATTTTTACATTCTTTATTACCACACCAGAGTTTCTAATGAGGATCGAACCCGATGTTTACTCTTTGACAGATTAGAGTAGCTACCATTGAATCATGAATAATTAAGAACAAAAGAATATCAACAGGCTGTTCACATGAGCAAGATGCTCTTCCAATTTTGATCTTCAATGATTGGGTTTAGCTACCTGATCCCACCATAAGACGTAATATTGGTTAATACATCTCTGTTGCCAGCTTTTCTATTAAAAACGCATACATCCATGTTCTCCAATCACCAAATCACTAGCTTATGCTAAAAATACATAATTGTCCCACGCAACTCGACAACTTATCACACTATATTACAAATGAGATAAGTCCCTACTCTCTTACATTGTATGTTAGCTAATATTTCAATAATACTAGACCCACTTCACAAAATAAATATATTTATTTTAGAGTTATTTATATGATAATTAGGATTTGCTATCAAATTATGACTAATTCGAAATTAGGCTGGTAAGACCTCAAATAAGACGGAAGTTCTCCTAACAAATAATATTGATGTGGTGATGTGTGCGCTTATGAATCAAATGTAAAATCTCTAGTTAGAAATAGCAGGGTATTACAGAGATTATAAGACTCTCTTATTGGTAATTTAAAAATTTTGTCAGTTATTTTTAATTGTATAATCTGATTTGGCAAATTTTTTTCTTTCAATTTGGATTATTACTATCTTTTCAAAAACCACAATCATTAGTTTTAGCCATTTACACAATAATTAATTTACAACTCTTTGTTTTGTCCATGTAATCTCCAAGGAACAACAATACTACCTCCGCCTCAAATTTCTAGTACAACTTTTTATTTAATAAAAATAGTGCCAAAATATACTCAACACAATGAAAAAAGAAAAGGATTTACATTCATTATTTGTAAACCAAATTATCATGACACACTAATTGTAATAAAAATTACTCAAATACCATCTACCATAAATAAAATAAGAAATTAAAATTTCTTCAAAATTATATGTTGGTCAAAGGTACTAATAGAGCTCATAGAGCCTATTACAAATTTACAATGTAACATGAAATTAGGGACAGCAAGGCCAATGTGGTAATATTGAGGAAGAGTTGACTGTTAAGGGCATTCATTATTTCATCCCTTTAAAAAGGTGGTAATGTGGCAGCTGCCAAATTCCATGTTCTTTATTCTTACTAGAAAACTAAATAGTACAAATCTTATCAGTTATCTCTAACATAGATATCCAACCAATATACTCCATTTTATCAAACAGTTCTCAAAAAGTGTATAATCATGAAACAGAGAATACTTGCCTCTAATAATATGCTCTGTTTTGCTCTGTTTTTTCTCTGTTTAATTTTACAAGAAATTCCAAGTATTGAAGCTTACAAAAATTATACAGTTGGAGATTCTTTGGGTTGGTATGATAAATCTTCCAAACCTAGTATTGATTATGAAAAATGGGTTTCTGGAAAATCTTTCTCTTTGGGTGATTTCCTCAGTAAGTTTATCATTCTTTCTCTGTTTTCCCCTGTATTTTTTTCATCATATGTTAATTTATATGGGTTCTTAATTGTTGTCTTGTTGATTTATTGAATTTATACATGATTTATCTAAAACTTCACTACATCTTAAGTGCTAATTTCATGATATTTATGTTTAATTGTGTGATTAACCTATAATTTTGTTGTTTATTTGATTCCATTTTATGTTTCATTGTTTTGTTATTGTGTGATAATGTTTCAAATCATAAGCTACAATCACATACTCTAAAAGTTTAAAACTTGTAGATCATAGAATTATGACAATAAACTTGTAGATCATAGAATGAATTGAGTTGATTTTGTGATCCCCTTATTTTTCATTTTGATGTATGAAAATACGAGAAAAGTAGTAATGTAGACCTGATTTGATCTAGCGTATAAGATGTCATCGTTAAATTTCAACTAAGGTAGTTTACTACTAATAGTCCAATAAGTACTCCGTACCTTTTAGTGATGATTGCCTCAATAACAAGCTTAACAAGCTATTTAAGTACTGGGGTTGCCATTTTATTCTTTTACCTTTTGGGTCTAAAAGTACATGTACTAATAAGTAGTAGAAGATTCAAAGCTTCAATCCACAAGCAAAGCATATGTTAATCATCTAGTTATAAAAGCCCTTTAGAAAACACGAAATAAAATACTTCGACTAAGGTTTAAGATTTAGACCATATATACTCGAAACTTTTTTTTACTGTTCCCTATTTACTGTGTTTTTAGTGAAAAAGACTAAAGAAAAAGTTTATGTAAGGTTAAAAAACTGTTTATAGAGATTAGATATTATAAAGTTTATAATTATATCTACTTAAATTATGTAGTTGTAGTAATTAATAAATAAATATAAAAAAGTAAGTGAAAGTACTTATCTTGTGAGTCTTATTGAAAACTTGACCCAGTGTCGGCATTATTAGCATATAACAACAATTGCATGTTAGGTGTCTAAGTTTCTTAGATATGGAGCATTAGAAAAATCTAAAAGTATTGCTCTAATAGGTGGATGAAGCAACCGTCACATGTAAATATAAAATTTTAACGCAATCCTATCAATATGAACATGGTGTATGTTCGCGTGCGCGCAGATTGCACAACACATATACAATATGCGTATAAACTAGTTTAAACTCGAATGTAAGGTTGAAATGTTGTATTAATTGAATTGTTATTATTTAAAGTTTGAATTTTTTGTCTGAATATTAATCATATTTTTTTAATTCAATACGTGCAGTTTTCAACACGGATAGCAATCATACGGTAATCCAAGCATTCAACTCAACAACATACACTTCATGCGATTCGCAAGGCGACGACAATGTGCAATGGTCAAGCACTGCACCAAATTCCACGGTTGTACGCCCTATAACAGTAGCTGTTCCCCTAATGAAAGAAGGTGTTTCATATTTTTTCTCAGGAGACTATGATGGAGAGCAATGTATGAATGGTCAAAAGTTTTCTATCAATGTAACTCATGGTAAAGGATTGCCTCCTAGCCTTAAGAACAACCCCGACTTCATGGTGGGTCCCGGTCCTACTCCCGCCTCAGGGGCAGATGCTGCCCCAGGGCCGGATAATCCCGACTCAGGGGATGATCAATCAGCCCCGGATACCATCATATCCTCCGATTTTAACCACCCTAAGAACGTACCGGAGGATAGTACTGGTGGTGGTGGTGGTGATGATGACAATGATGATGCTAAAAAATCCAACAATGTAGCTGCTTTTATGCCTAATTGGAAGATGTTCTTTGTTAGTTTGGTTGGTGGAATTTTGCTTCTTCTTTGATAACTTGATACATTTTAAGGAGGTTGCTAGCTTAGTGTTACCCAAATATATACGAGTACAATTTTTTTCCTACTCTTTTGCAGTTTTTCACAATATTTAATTTTCATATATTATAGTTGGTGCTTTGAACACATACTTTCATGATTCACATGTAATATATTAGTGTATCAATTTACTTGTATTTTTTATCATTAAATATGATTGATTTGTCAAATATTAATTTTGGTTCGTGCTCATTTAGATGATTGATCAAGATTCATTCATATTTGTTCAAGGGATTGAGGGGTCATTATGAAGTGGGAGCTTTCTTTCTCCTCGTAGGTAATCAGTAGTTTGAAGTAGCAAGTAGGCATCTACATTATTTATCATCAAGTAGTACTAGGTGTTGTGATAAGAATTGTATATCATTTTTGTGAGGTTGCGGAAATGAGGGATCAATCTCCCCATTCTCAAGGAGCCTTGCCTGTTAACTCGAGTTAGGGTTGATCAATGAGAAATTCCAGTCCATTCAAGCTCTATTTATCTCTAATTTAGTTTTACTTTGAAGTGAGATATCTACCGATTTGTTCACTTCACCTTAATAAAATATAGGATATTCTAAATTATTTTTAGTTACAACAATGCTTTTATAATTACGATAAGCTATACTCATTACTCAATGCATTTTAATATCCGTAGAAATTACTTAATTATGCAATATATTTAAGAACCTATTGATTTATATATCTTGCAAAAGACTACCCTACATGCAATGTAATTGTTGTAGAACTTATGTTTTGATTAATTAAATTATTTATTTTTATTTGAAGGAATATGTTTTGATTACTTGATCGATAGCTACAAGCCTACAATCCACGTAACATTTATTGGTTAGAACTTAGAATCGAACTCTTAGCCAATAGTAAAGATTAAAGGCTTGTGTATAATAGCTCGTGTCCCCCGTTTATAATGCAGTTGGTAAGGAGACACATATTATCACTCGTTTTTTCTTTTTGTGTAACAAATTAGCATTGTTGATTTCTTACTTTATAAACTGATAAGTAGGAAGAAAAAATCAAGCCTTGATCCTAATTTAATGATACGTAGATATTCTGCCTTAAAGAAGAGCCGATTATGAAGTATATTTATCTTTATGTAATATGAATAATATAAGGGGAATCTTCTTAAGTTATTAGTATATAAATAAGGAATATTGTAAATTTTTAATAGGACACAAATTTTTGCATGATCTTTTCATTTGAAAAATAACCTAATGTGTAGGGTAAATTGGTAAGAAATTTGAGTTAAACGGTAATAAATCAGGGAAAAAAAAATCTGCATCGAATTTTGGTAAATATCGTAACTTACGCAGTTATTCTTTACATTTTCTCTTAAAGTCAAATATTATAAAATCAATGAATGGTAAATACAGAAGTTTTAGGTTGAAAAATTATTATTGTAAATATAACTTGCTTCGAATATTTATGGAAACCTAAGTGTGTATGAGTATATATAAGACTAAAGAGATTGTATATATTGTGTCACAAAAAATTTTAGAACAGAAATTTTGAGAAATTCGGAGTCATTATTCAACATTTTTACAATGCTAAAAGAAGTTATGATATTTTGCTTGTTGGCTTTTGTTGCCACAAACAATGGTATTTTATTGCTATCTTTTGTCATATACTTTGCTCCTCTTTGAAAGTTTTTCACATATGATTTTTTTGGTGAGGCAATGATGAAGGAAGTAGTTAATTTTATGCAAATTATATTTGTTATATGGAGTACTAAATACTATCTCTAATTCTATAATTTATTTTATGATTGTTTATCTTTTTAATTATATTCAATTTGTATCTTTAATTATTGATATCTGTGATTGTTTGTTTAACACATACATTTACACATAAGCTATCTCTTGGTTCTTTTTGTTAGTTCATATGACTTTTATTTACATACAAATTAAATTACGAAAATTTAATAGATGAATACTACACATTGAAATAATTTTAGAAAAAAACCCATGTGAAAAGTTTTGTTTTGTACGGAGAATATAATCAACAATAGATGGTCAAATATAATACGTTAATTGATGGAGCAAGGTATGAGATAGTAGTCTGCCGATTTAAACATTGAAACTAGTATCATATTTACCTTGTGCTCTCATTAATATTGTGTTATTGTTTTGTTCATTTCTGTTCTCTTTTTTATATGCTCCATTAATATTGCATTATTTAAATAATTTAAATCTATAACTAATTTGGAATAATGTTATTCTTGATTTTTCAGTTGAAGGAAAAGTGCCGTTATTTCAGAGAAAATGGGCAGTATGCGATAATAGTTGCGCATATTTTAAGGATAAAGGATGCTATAATTATTGTGTCACAAAAGTTTAAAAAAAGCGGGTTTACAATAACTTAATGAATGGCAATGGCGTGCGAAAGTTTACATACGCAAGATTCTATTTTTTTCTCTCATGGGTTTGTATTTGATTTTTTTTCCTGCTCTTCATCTCTTTCCTCTGCACTTCTTCTCTCTCCTCTGCACTTCTTCTTTGTTCTTCAATTTCCTTCTTTTTTTACGATTATATCTTGATTTTGTAACAAAATTTTCCTATTTTGATCAATGATTCATCTTCTACAGCTAATTTCAAGGTATGTATGTTCACTTAATTTTTCACCCACTACGAAAGCCACCACTGCCGCGAGCTTGAGCCTCGTTAACAGTGATCTGACGATTGTTGAGTGTTTGGCTGTTCATTCCTTCGATCGCGGCATCAAGCTCTTCGTTCCTTGCTTCCGAAGGTAATGATGGTGACGATGCTTGTATGGTAATTGGAAGCAGTAGCAAAAATTTTGGAATCAAAATAAAATAATACTTGTCTGGTTTACTTTTGAAAAAAACAAAAAAAAACCAGTGAGATTTTGATACTTTGTTTTGCAATTTGCATACGTAGCTCAATTACTTTTGTGATAAAAAGGGTCACTTTTGTGAAAAAAGGTCACTTTTGTAAAAAAAAAAAAAAACACTTTTGTGAAAATATGGGTTACTTTTGTAATAAAAAGGGTCACTTATGTGAAAAAAAGGCCACTTTTGTAAAAAAAAGGGTCACTTTTGTGAAAATATGGATCACTTTTGTAATAAAAAGAGTCACTTTTGTAAAGAAAAATGGTCACTTTTATAAAGAAAAAGGGTCACTTTTCGCAAAAAAAGGGTAACTTTTGTGAAAATATAGGTTATTTTTATAAAAAAAGGGGGTCACTTTTGTAAAAAAAATGGTCACTTTTGTGAAAAAAAATGATCACTTTTGTGAAAATATGGGTCACTTTTGTAAAAAAAAAAGGGTCACTTTTATAAGAAAAAAGTGTCACTTTTCATAAAATGTTCGATGTACAATAAAATTATTGTAAACTGGGTGCATACAAAAGGTTTCCTTATTGTGTTGGCCTTGGTTATATACACGGTGGTGAATGCTACTACAATGGTGGCCCTTGCGGAAATTGTTGTTGTAATCCCAATTAAGCAAAGACTACAAATGTTTGCCTTGTAGTTGTTTGCAAACTAAGGAGCTAGTAATAATGATACTTATTATACTTATCTAAATAAGTTGTTTTTAGTAAGGGAATATACAATGATGAAATGGAAAATCTATCAATAATGAATTGATGTGTTTTTGTGTTCATATGACTAAATTAAACAACAAAATCTTTAAAGTTTTTCACGATTGCTAATTGATATAGTTGTTTTTGACTCTTTTCTTAAGTGAAATACAGTGATATAAGTCAATGGGGTGTTTTATAACTTGGTTATCAGCTAATGAACGCAATAACATATGATTTTTTATACACTTTCTTATTAGCTTAATGTTAATGTATATATAATGCAAATATCAAATTACTTGTTCTCTTACTTTAATATTTGGTAATAATTGTAGTTTAATAAAAATAATATAAATAATTTCATTCCATTAAAATTTATTTCGATGTTTTAACAATTAGGTGAAGAAAACATGACCTTAAGAATAAAGGGAGTAAAGAAATTAGCAAAATTATAGGCTTGCAATTGTGTTTACTGAGCTGACCTCAATTTAAATATGAAAATAAAAGGACAAAGGACAAGCTTGTACTCGTAATATTTTGAGATAAAATCGTTAACACCATTGAATTTACTTGCGATTTGTGAAACTGCTACAAAGTAGTTTTGCTATGGATTTCTCCTTACTTGATTTTCATTCCAATTTCCAACCTTGGATTTTCTTCGAGTTTTCCGAACACATTTTTTTTTTGGTTTTTATTTTGTCAATTCGTTAACATTAAGTCGAAAAGAAAAACAATCTGTCAAACCAACCAAATGAAAACAGTAATTGTTGTGTATTGCCAAACAAGAAACCCCTCTAAAGTCCAACTCAAAAAAAGCCCCAACTCCAAATTCCCAAAACCTTCTTCCTTCTCATAACTTCACTGCAAAACCATAAAACCAATACAACACCCAACTAAAAAGCTCAACCGAAAAATCAATGGCGGATTCATCGCAGTCTCCGTCCCCGGCGACGTCGACGTTGTTGTCGGCAATGGCGGCTTTATCAGACAAGGAAAGAGAAGAAATGTTGGAAAGAATGCTTACCAACTTAGCATTTTGCGACGATTCCAAGCTTCAAAGCTTACTTGCAAACCTTCTTCCTCGCGCTATCGCTTGTCTCTCCTCTCAATCAACTGCAATTCGCAACAAGGTCATCTAATTACTTGAATTTCTATTGTTTTTTCTTGAATTTTGATTTTGCTTTTAATTTTTTGTTTTGCTGATTGAATTTTATTCAAACTTTTAGTTGTTTATTGGAATTGTTTGTTTTTAATTTGAAGGTTAGGGTTTGTTATGATTAAGGATGGAAGTAATTGAATTTGGATGGAATTTGGTGTTTTTAATAAGTTAGCTTTTGTTAGTTGATGATTAAGGTTGATTTTAGTTAATAGTCGTATGATTGTGGTTGGAGGTGAACGGTGATTGATCATACTAGTAAAATGCGGTTTCTGCAATTATGCAACAAATTGTATGACATCGAGCATTTGCTTCGCTTTGAGGAGCTTACACATTTACACCTGTAGTGTGGAATTAGGATTCACTTGAGGTGATGCAAAGTACTGCAATTTCCTGAATTGAGAAAACAAGTAGTGTATTACGAAAAGTGATAACAATGTAGAGCATTTAGTTTCGCTAAGGTAAGGTCATTGGTCACGACAAGAGGATTGTCTGTATGAGACATTTGCGATGGGTCATACAAGTAAATGTTGCTCTAATGGTAGTATTGCTACTAGATTTACTGCCTAAGCAAGTTATTGGAATAGGTGTGCTTTTGTCAATGAAGCTCTTTGCATAAAAGTCTAGAGCATTTTCTATGCTTCATTGATGATGCGTAAAGCTGTTAAGTGTGTGGGGGATTGATGATTAGAAAGTGTATTCAAGAGTATACAAACATAAGAAGCTAGAAGGAGCATGATTATCTGACCTATGATATATTAATGCCCTTTTCCCACAAGAGTCTATTGGAATGCAGAGGGCTGTCATTTACACACAAAACCATCTTTGATATTCTCTATCATGAAGTGGTGACAATTGCTGTTGAATAATATAAATCTTCATAATTTTGCTTGGTTGGTAAGAGAAAGGTGAATCTTCATTCTTAGTTGGTTTCTATGTTGCTGCTGTACGAAGTAGGTACTTGAAATACTGAGTCATGTAAATAAGCGTGTGAAACATGAGGCAGGGATTGGCTTGCCATTATCTGAATTGTGGAGTATGTATTCTGAAGCTACCACTGCTCCAATGGTCCGGAACTTTTGCATCATCTACATTGAGATGGCATTTGAGCGTTCACAAATAGAGGTGTGATTTTTTTTTTTTTTTTTTACTTTGTCTGACTTTCAATGCTGAGAGGATTAATTGGCCCTCATATTTTACTCTAAGAAAACCCTTCCAAAAATTGTCACCTTGTAATGCTTCTTCACAGGTTCAGAAAAGTATGGCTCCCAATCTCTTAGTGAACATTTCAAAGCTTCCTCCTCAGCACCAAGCAATAATATTGAGAGTAGTTGTAAAGGTATTCTTCAATAAACCATCATCTTGGAGGCAAATTGTTTGTAAGTGGGAACATCTCCCCCCCCCCCCCCCCCCCCCCCCCCTCCAGCTCTGTCAACATCTTACTTTATCTACCATTGCTGGCTTCAGGTCATTGGAGAAGCCCATTCTGTTAAGATTGATGAAGAAATTGCTGCAAAATATAGTATGACGAGAGGTTCTCAGGACTCTGAAATGTTTGTTGATTTTTGCTTGCACACTGTGTTGTACCAACCTACATCTCAAAGGTCTAATCTAGCTAGCCTCCAAGGTTTTAAAATTTTGGGATTTTATTGTTCCTTTTTGATCTCTTATACTGAATTGATGTTTTATACTTTCAGTGGCGGATGTCCAGCCGGTCTTTCTATATCCCTGGCAGAACGTGTCACTGGGAAGCAACCACTAAAAAATGAGATTCTTTTGAGTAGGAAGGTGATATCAGCTTAATGCTTTATCCACTCTTCATTCTTCTGTTTCTGGCTGATATATATCTCCCGTCATTTGTTATAATTCAATTTTATACTTGGCATTATGTGCAATTGCAGATTTTTTTTAAAATAAAAAATTTAAATTTAAAATTTTCTTCTTCTTACAGTTAGGGATATTGAATGTCATTGAATCCATGGATCTTCCAGCAGATATTGTTTACCCAATATATCTAGCTGCCTCTGCAGACAGGTAAACTTACATACACAAGGTGTATATAGCTAGTGAACTAATTTCTCTTAAACATTGAATCTTTGTACGAGAGGTGTAGATCCTGATATTTTTCTGACATATGTCCATGCAAGTCAAGAGCCTATTGCTAAGAGAGGGGAGGTACTTTTGAAGAAGAAGGGATCTATGGCTGATTTAGATAATCCAACTCTTATCAAAAAGCTGTTTTTACTATTCAATGGTAAGATAGTTGTGTACTTGCATCTTCAACTCTATTTTATAGAGTAATACACTTCTCATGAATCTCATCTGCCCATATAACTCTGCCTGAGTTTATTAAACTAATTTAAGCATGATTTAGTATGATCTCTCATTGATATTGAACAAAAAATTATTCTAAAATATAAAAGAGCCATTTAAGTCTGATGCTATAAGCGTAAGCTCATTGGTTTGGTAGCAGGTATCGAGAAACTATCTACATCTTTCTACCCTAAAAGCTATGGCTGTATTCTACACTCATCCCAAATGGTTATTTAATGAGCATTACCCAAGATAAACTATCTGGTGAATATATGATGTTGCTGCAGTGTAAATACTTATTGCTAATGCTGTAGTGCATCACCTTAAAGTTATCTGGTGCAAGAATTTTTTTGAGAAGATTAGTTTTAGGAATTAGCCTAATCCATACTAATCTCTATGACATATTTTGTTTATCAGGAAATGCTGCTACTGAAACAATTGCTCCAGAGAATAAAGTTTCACCTGCATATTATCCTTTGAAGACTAGGCTGATGTCTGTATTTTGTCGGTCCATTGCAGCTGCAAATAGTTTCCCTGCTACTTTGCAGTGCATCTTTGCCTGTATATATGGTATATATGCTGTGTTCTCTTTCATTCTTGAATCAAAGCTTCTGTAAATCGTTCATCTTGTTTTCTATGTACATGTTGGATTCTAGATTCTTGGAAGAATGTACCTCGTTGTTGATGTGTATTGTGGTTAGTCTTTCTAAATTGCAGTCTTGTGTACAAATATATCCTCAAGTTTCCGGGCTTTGGGCTTGTTTGTGAGATAGCTTTTAGCTTGTCAATGTGGTCAGATTACAAATGGATATGCTTGGTAAATACTTGGGTTTTTCATTGAATGACAGGCTGGCTTTTTTAGACAAAATGAAAAGACGGTTGGTTTTAAAATAATTAGCTGGCATGTCAATTAAGAAGCCATTTTAGATATACTTAGGCTAACAACTATTTTTACCAATCATCTTTTTGATTTGCTAATATTACTCACGAAATAGAAGTTGTTAATCCATAGTCATATGGTTTTGTTTGATCTCAAGTAATTTGTTATACTTGCTGGGCCCTCGAAGAGAAATCACCTAGCATTCAAGTGAGGTTCTTTCCTATAAACATATTGTAATAGGAGTAGCCACAAACCTGGTAACCTAGTCAACTTTGTACCACTTTTTCGGTTCGGGATAATTTTTTTTCACACATATGGCATACTCTCATCAATACTTGTCTCCATATGTGTGTTTTAACACTACTCCATGATTTTAGTACACCCTTCATAGTGTTGGGGCCTACAACACTTCTCATGACTTTCATGAAATCATGAGACCTCACTAATACAAACGTAACAAAAAATATCTTTCTCCACATCACTTCTCTTGGGGATTATTTGTTGTCAAATTGCCATGTCCTTATCTTGGATGATCACACAAGATCTCCGGTTGCGCTCTCGTCACTTCCTTAGCTCCCCCTCACTTGCAACATCTTCGACTTCATCACATATTACCCTCTGCGACATTGGGCCAATTAAGGCAATCTATACTTGGCCAACATTTGTTGGGCCAGGTCATGTCCCAAGAACGGAAGAGAGGCCACTTAACATAGAGGTTCCATCCTAAAGCCATAGAGCAGTAGGAGTGTGCCAAAAACCTTGTTGGCTAGTCACCTTCATACCACTCTTCCAATGTGGGACAATTATTCTTTGCACACACTTGGGAAACTCCCACCAATGTTTACTTCAGTTCTTACAATTCGCTGTGTGTTTTAGGTCATACTGCAATGCTATTGATGTAACTCTGTTGTGAAGACTGTTGATTTCTCCTTGATGGAATAAGAATTTGTACCTGATGCTCTTTGCATAATTCTCTGTAACAGGAAATGATACCACTCCAAGACTAAAGCAGTCGGGAATGGAATTTGCTTTCTGGGTTCTAAAACATGTACGGGATATTCATATTGGTTATAAACTTTTCCCTTCAAGTTAAATGTTCATATTGCTTGCAAGATCTCACTATAATAGAATAGTACTAGTTATAGACAAGAGCCTTATTAATATTGATGTTATTTTGGATTTTGTGTTTCTTCAGTTAAAGGGAATAGCTTTTGTTTTGTTAGCCATTTAATTCCATTAATGCAGCTCCTGAGTCCTGACCGTAGAGTTAGGACCACAGAGTTATGCTAACTATTGCTAAGAGCTCTAGTGTTTTGTGAACTGATAAGTCCCTTTTGTTAGTTATGTTCTCTTCCTTGGTCTGAACAACTGACATGCATGCTTCTTAGGAGATGTTTCAGTTGCAGACTTGCAGCCCACTTGCTGGTTCTGCATAGCTCATATGCTGTGATTGTCCCTACTTGGGCTACCATCATTTTACCATATTCATTGATTGAAAATAAAAAATTTATGGGGCGCTTGGTTCGTAGATTTTAGGTATGAGGTATAGGTTTAGATTTTAGGTATGAGGTATAGGTTTAGATTTTAGGTATGAGGTATAGGTTTAGAATGGGTATGAGGTATAAGTCCCTAATGTTTGTTTAAGAAATTTTCACTTTTGAAACCCATACCTCAAACCCACAAGGTTCAGGGTTTAGAAACCAAGGGGAAAGCTGAAGGTGGGTATAACTCATACCACACCTCTAGATATAAATAAAAAAAATTTACATTCCCTAAGTTCCTAACAAAAATCAAACACAAGGTATTTAGAATTGAGTTTCAACCCCATACCAGCTTGTAATTTTAAACCCATACCACTTTGTGAACCAAACACCCCCTTACTCCCTTAGTATGACAACACGTACGTTTTTATATGTGCTCTTGCCTGTTTTTTCCCACTTGTTAATACCTAGTGAATGACTGTAATGTAACAAATGTGATGAAAAGGAGTACAGGTGGAGCATGGAAGAATAATAGTTGGTATTAAGATGGCTGGGGTGCTGCAATTGGAGAATGGAGATTTACTGCAGTACTTACTCTGTATAAATAATCATAGATTTTGGTAGAGGGTGATCCTATTCCAACATAGTGGCAGGTGCAGCTACAAGAATAGCAAAACTGGGTGATTGAATTTGGGTGACAATCATAGATTTGGAAAGTGGTTGATGATAAGACACCTAGAAAATTATAAATCTATAGTGACCTGTCTGGAGTCCATGAAGGAGCTGGAAGAGCTCCCATGGTGTTTTTGAGAACTGATGCTGAAATAGTGGACTTGGAGTCTTGATGATTTCATATGCACATGGGATATTGATTTAATAATTCAATGTTGGACAACAATTTTAATGATGTTTTTTTTTATTTATTTTTTATTTTTCTTTTTAATACTTTAAGTTAGTCAGCTGCAACTTACAGATGTCAGGACTCAGACCCAAGGAATGTACTAACAGAAAGTGATTTACTCTTATGCTCTTGAAATGCTCCTCCTTCCATTTACATATATCACTCTTGGGGGCCCTTCTATTGACTTGTTTGTGTAAATAATATAGTGTATTCATTTACTCCCAACTGAGATGATATCTCAATATCTCGAAATACTAAAGGGCTATTATGCTGTAGCTTTTTAAGTCCTGCATACCGTCTTATCTGGATATAGTTTATTCATTTACTCCCAACTGAGATGATATCTCAATATCTCGAAATACTAAAGGGCTTTTATGCTGTAGCTTTTTAAGTCCTGCATACCGTCTTATCTGGATGACTATAACTCAATCCAATGTACGAGTGCCTTGACTATAACTCAATCCAATGTAGACTACAACATGTTTTTATTATTTCATGCTCCTGTCTGTGTTCAGGCAAGAATGGATCAACTTAAGCTTATGGGCCCTCTCATATTGACTGGAATTCTGAAGTCTCTTGACGGGACAAACAATCGAGAAGCAGGTATAGTTCAATATTTTGAACTTTTTATTATCTGTATTTCAAGTAGTTTAACTTTGTCGTTTAATGGAGGCATAGTTTACCCATACTCAAATGTATGTTGTGTTTTTTTAGATTCTATATCTCGGGAGACCAGGACATTTGCGTATCAAGCAATTGGAATGCTTGCTCAGCGCATGCCTCAGCTTTTCAGGTGATCTCTTACAACATTCCTCCATTCCCCTTATTATTATTCTCTCCTTGGTTCTTTGGTATGAATTAGTCTCTCCTATCTTTGGTTTAACTGAAACTATGGCACCAAATTTTTTTACACTACTAATTTGGGGTGAATAAGAATCTCCCTTACTCTCATGAACATGTGCTCACAAGTTCACTCAAGTTTTTACAAAAAACTCAAAATACTCAACTTTTAAAATAAATCGTGACAACCTAAGGCCCTTCATAATCTCATATAGACTTATGAATCCTATGTTACCTAAGTATCCTAATTGCAATAAAACACAATCTTTTTTGTCACATGTAAAATCTTATTTTTAATGAATAAGGGAAGCCATGCAGCTTCCTTAAATTTTGTCTTACTTAAAATAAAATCCTACGTCTCATATAATTTGGGATTACATTTATTTGATAATATTAAACTAAATGTGAAAATACCCTGAATACCCTTAATATCAATATCACTCCTCCTCAGTGCTCATATCATAGCTGTTTTCTTACAGGGATAAGATAGACATGGCTGTTCGTCTTTTCGATGCTTTGAAATCTGAGTCTCAGCTTCTTCGATTGGTCATTCAAGAGGCTACAAGCTCCCTTGCCTCTGCCTATAAGGTGATCCTTGTTCCCCCTTTGTTCCTAGCTTTGAGGCTTTCGACATTACACTATTGCCAATTTACTTATTTTTATTAATCTTCTGCATGAACCAATTGTAATTTGGTGGTACTTCTTAGTTCTTAGGTATCTTGGTTGTAGATACTTCTGGAGGATGGGGGGGGGGGCTTTCTTGGCAATATTCTTGTCTTGTTATCGTGAACAACTTCTTTATTTTATTTGAATGTTTTCAAGTGGCTTGATGATCTCTATTGCTTTGGTAATGTTCATGAGAGCTCCATAGGTATGATATTTTCTCGGACTTCTTGTTTCTGGGCCCAGTATTTTTTCTCACTAAATTCTTCTTCTGAGCATCAGGGAGCATCTTCCAGCATATTAAAAGATTTAGAGCAACTCTTGCTCGATAACTCACAAGTGGTAATTTAATATTTTTTGTTTGTACTTCTTTCTATAATTGTTTTTCTCCTTGTCATTTTTGAATCTCAATCTCTCACCTATATGCTTTTCAAATATGTTTTGAAGGACAAAAGTGAGGTGCGATTTTGTGCTGTGAGGTGGGCGACATCATTGTTTGATTTGCAGCACTGTCCTAGCCGTTTTTTATGTATGGTTGCAGCAGCTGACCCAAAGTTGGATATACGGTACTTGTAGCTTTCAATTGTAATAGATATCTAAATCATGTATTCATGAGTATATTCGTTGTTTGTCAACTTTTTGAATTTTTAAAAATCTGCTCATTGTAAATTTTGATTTTTTTTTCCCTGCCAGAGTACACCTTGTCCTCTTGTTGTACTGTAAAATCTTTGTGCAGTTATATAAATAAATATTTGTTATATAATCATCATCTGTTCAATGTCCATCTGAGTATTGTGCTCTTGTGTTCTCACTAGCAGGTTCTCACTAGCTATTTGTGCTCTTGTTGTGATGATACACATCCCAACATACATAATACAATTTCCTTTTTAGCATACTCTACATTAATATTTTAGTACTATGGATCACATGCACACACATAGATACACGCACCACATTTGTTTTTAATGTTATCACACTTTTGTTCCCATCCAACAAGATATTATCTCCTAAAAGGACCATGAAGGCTATGTAGTTGCGTTGTTTCTTATTGAAAGTGTAAATAATTTTTATGACAGGATCGGTTTACTATTATAAGCGGAGGATTTTTCATAGGGAAACTCTTTAAGTATATGTATATTACAGTAATTACTCAGTGATGTGAGGTAGGCATTTGTATGTTAGAGAATGGAGGGTATAAAACTGTGATTGAGGAAGCTCTCGTTTATTCAATTTGGTTCAGCTCTGAACTTGGAAATCGGAAAATAAAAGCATGTCTGGACCAAAAGTGTACTGTACTTTATTCTTGCATTTACGAAAGAGGAAAGAAATCATCAATTTAAGTTGATGTGGCTATATTTTTCCATTTAGTTAATCTGCCCACCCTTGTTTCTGTGTTAATATTAAACTTAGCATGCCTAAGCTGAGTATGACTGTATAAATATTAAACTCTGTTTAAGTTAATGTAGCACTAGCTCGATTCCAATGAATTAAGATCAATGAGATCAGTATAGATTTGCAACTGTAATCAAGCTGAGTTCACGTATGACATTCTGTTTATGTATAGTTTTGTAAGTAAATGGTAATGTTTATGCTTTAATGTATCCGTACAATATTGTATTTTGTATTTAGGGATTGAGGAGGATAAAACAAGCTCTAGACAAGGACTAAATGAATGTAGGATGAACCTAAACAAAGCTTAAAACTGTTATGAAAAATGAAGTATTTATGAACAATAATAAACAAGTTGTTCTACAACAAAATGAAGACCATCCTTGGTAGCATACAGACCAGCCTTTGTTGGCTAATGTTTGTGACATATACTTATTTACTTTCTCTATGGATTTGCTTACGTAGTCATCCAAGTGTTTCTTTCATATTTTGTAACATAAAGTTCCATTATGTCATAGAATTTGAAGTGAAGAGGCACTCCTCAATGGTTCTTAGATGGCTGTTGGGAAATATTTATGGCTTTAGTTTTGCTTCCAGAGGGATAAATCTATTTTATTATATGAAACAACAATTAGATATCCAGCTTATGCCTATGCAGCGCACATTAAATTGTTTTAAGGCCAAGTACCTTACTGGTTGAGATACTGAGTGTCAGGATAGAGAAAAGCTGTTGAAGTGATGTTGTCCACTGTTTACTTATTACTAAATTTTAGGTCGCAGAAGCAAAAGTGCTAGATATCATTAGTTCAATTATTTCTGCTCTTTCTACTCTGATTTTGTCGTTTATTTATGTCCCTTTGATTCTATGCTCTCACTTGTAGGGAAATGGCAACTCAGGGGCTGTTCCCTGATGAAGGAAGATCCATTAGCCAAAAGATAGATCTTAAATATCCCAGAGTTAGAGACATGTTGGATTGTATCATCAAGCACCAACCAAAAGTGTTAGAAGTTGCAGATATAGAAATGAGGGAGCAACTCCTTTTTCCCTCCAAGACATATGATGCCATGATTAAATTTCTTTTGAAGTGCTTTGAGTCTGACATGCTACAAGATGACTCAAAGACAGCTGAATTCCAGCCTATTGTGGAAGCATTGTGCTCTCTTATTGAACATGCTATGGCTATTGAAGGTTCTGCTGAGCTGCATGCTAATGCTTCCAAGGCTTTGATTGAAATAGCAGCTTACTTTCCCGAGGTATCTATATTGGTCAATCAACTACTCTATGCCTTTTTTGCCTGCTCATTTTCTCCCTCTTTGCTCAAATGTTTTGCCTTGTGAATTAGGTCTTGGCATTACGGTATGCCTCAAAAATTAATTGGTTGAAGCAATTACTGAGGCATGTAGACTTTGATACGCGTGAATCTGCTGCTCGTTTGCTTGGAATAGCTTCGTCAGCTTGTCCTATTGCTGTGTCATCTTCCCTGATAAGTGAATTGACTGCTGTTATTACTCCTACTAGTGGACCACATAAAACGAGGTTTGCTCATTTATATTAGTGATTAAGTCGAGGTTTAGTATATATTTACTGATTGCTAGGTTGATTTGGTTTCAGATTTGAAATGCAGCATGGGGCTTTATGTGCTATAGGGTTTGTTACTGCTGATTGTCTATCTAGAGCACCTGAGGTTTGTGAGGTTCCACTCTTTGTCATTGTTTTGTTAGTCATTAGAGTTGTTAGTTGTTAGGTTATCAGGAGCCAATGTGCCATATTCTGTATGAGAAGTGAGCACTGAGAAGAGTTGGAGTTTGACACCTGGGAAACAATGAACTGATCATACCTGAGAAACAATGAACTGAACTAAATGAAATTCTTTTTAACCCTTTGTTGTTACTTGCTTTGTCTCTCCAATTCGCTATCTTTAATTGTCATCAATTTTGAAAATTCTTCCTGAAATTTGTTGCCGTTTGATGAGGCTGGGGGCTTTATTGCTGTAGGCCTATAGTTTGAGTTAGAAAGATTAAAATAATTGTCATATAACATAATCTCTTTGGTTCTAGACTCACTGCTGTCATTCTCACACAACCCTCCCTCCCACTCTTAAAAAATCATGTCACCAGCGGCACATGCCAGCTTTACACTTTTTTTACAGCTGTCATTTATCCAGCAATTACCTTCTCCTGTCACCAGAGGTTTTTCCACTTTCAGAGGGCTAAATTCTTCATGGCCTATGATACGGGGTAATTTGGGAGGTTGCTCTCAGTCACATATATCTTGCTTTGTTGAATTGTGAGGGTCTTTTTTGTCTATTTGCTGTAATAAATCTGATTTTTCTGTCAGCTCAGCATGGGGTTTATGATGGTTTCAAAGCTAATTCTTTTTCTATGATTGAAAGACACTTGTATTCTTACATGGTAGGTGCCAGAAGCAGTACTTCAGGATACTGTAAAAAGCCTGGTTGATATTGTTAACCTTGAAACTGCTACAGTGGCTTCTATCGCAATGCAAGCACTTGGACATATTGGATTACGTGTAGCATTGCCATCACTTGTTAATGATTCTGGTCCTGGTAAAGTACATTCTGATGGTTTCCTTAGTTAATTATGTTGTGCCTTCTTGAAACATATTTTAACAAGTAGTTGCTGACGAAAATTCTTGTAGCGTCTGTGTTGACTGTTCTGCGGGAAAAGCTGGGCAAACTTCTTGCTGGAGATGATACAAAAGCAATAAAGAAAATTGCTATATCTCTGGGGCATATATCCATGAAGGAAGGCTCACCTTCTAGTTATAATGTTGCTCTAGAACTTATATTTGGTCTCTGTCGTTCAAAGGTACGTGTTATGATTTCTTCGGGTCGTGTTTTTCCGATGAACTCGTTAGCTTAGGTTAATGATCTGTTGTTTGAAACTTTATGGCTTCACAGGCTGAGGATGTTCTATTTGCTGCCGGGGAGGCTCTTGCATTTGCTTGGGGTGCTGTTCCTGTGGATGCTGATGTTATTTTAAAAACCAACTATACCTCACTTTCAATGACTTCAAATTTTCTTCTGGAAGATGTTTCTTCTTCTTGGTTGAAAAAAAATTACAATGATGAGAATGAATCCAATAAGGATGCTCGAGATATGGCCCGAGATTTAATTACCAAAAAAATATTTGACACTCTTTTGTACAGCAGCAGGAAAGAGGAGCGCTGTGCTGGGACTGTCTGGTTGTTGTCATTGACCATGTATTGTGGCCGTCATCATACGATTCAAAAATTGCTTCCAGACATTCAGGTTTGCAAGTGTGTTTATTCCTGTAGTTAAAAGTCTGAAGTATGCACCTGTATATGTTAGCTTTGTGTCCTCATGTTGTGTGCTTCTTTTTTTTCCTTCTTAAAACGGATACAATTAAGGTGCTTTTTCTTTCAAAATTAAAAAGGACCAGTTCAAATATACCATCAGATTTCACTTTGGGCTCTTGGTGCTATTACTTTTTGTCTTATTCAAGCAATAACATTATACCATAAATTGAAAAAATTTCAGGGTTGATCACACCCATGAAACGAAGTCACCCACCTCTAATATGTTTGAATTCGTATAATGAGTGGGCTTGACATTTGTGTTAGTGTGTGTGTCACGTGTAGGTATATGTGAGCGCACATGTATATGTTTGCACATAACCACCTTTAGAGTAATTTTTCCTTGTTGGATGCATGTGGAGTGTTGACCTGTGTTTCATTTGAAGTACTACCTGAAATGCCTTCATATCTTTATTACTTCTGTGCGAGTCTTAGTTTGAGAAATTGAGCATCAAGTTCCCCTCTTCAAGAATCATGACTTGATGTCTGTAAATGTTGGTGTAAGTATGACTTATGTTTTTAATTTATGGTTAGGGCATTTTGCGCTGAAGTTCCTTTGTAAATTGGATAAGGTGTGTCCAACATGGAAAATATATTATGTGGTTCTATGCCACCAGATATAAAATCTTGGTTCTTGCAGCTGACCCTGTCATATTGGGGTAAGGCTTTGGTGGTTGTTTGTTCTATGCCAGGGAAAATATATGTCATAGGTGGCTCTCCAAGAGTATCTAATATGTCTACATCTATATTGTGGTGGGGTTTTGTTGAGAAAACTATGTATATTTAATGAAAGTATTGTGTTGTCATAATGTTTATATAAACGAGGAAAGGAAATGTAATGATTTATAGAGGCAAGGAGCAAGGAGGTAATATACTAATGGCTGGGTACATTCCAAATAAGCAAATGAGTAATTGGAACAAATTAAAATGAAAACATGGGTAAGGCTATGTGAGATGGAGGGAGTAATAAAAATGTGAGTCAACTATTACTTGTGTGCATCCCCATCCCTTCTGTTCTTAGCTTCATGTAACTCTTGTTTGATCTGAAAAACGTGTTCAAACTGGGTCTCTGATTCAGCCTGTATACTTTGGACGTCTATATACAACTGAAACTCACCATATCCTTGTAGAGAATATTTCTCAAGGCTGAAAGTATACTACTGTAGACCTTTTGCCTACCTGGTTGTGGAGATCATTTTTTTCTTAAAATTTTTATTTGGGTGGTGGGGGTTTGGGATCTTATTTTTTTCATTTGCCGATTACAGGAAGCCTTCTCACATTTATTGGGCGAGCAAAATGAACTTGTTCAGGAGTTAGCGTCACAAGGAATGAGTCTTGTTTATGAACTTGGTGATGATTTAATGAAGAAGAGCTTAGTGAATGCACTTGTTGGCACTTTGACTGGTTCAGGGAAGAGAAAGAGAGCTGTCAAGGTAAATGTGCTTCTTGTTTCTATGATTCATGTATTTTGGTGTTGGTATTTGCACAAATTAATTAGTTTTATCTTTTTACTTCTGTTTGGATCCTCTAGCTGGTAGAGGATTCAGAAGTCTTTCAAGAGGGAACTATTGGTGATAGTCCCAGTGGTGGAAAATTGAGCACATATAAGGAGCTGTGCAACATGGCAAATGAGATGGGCCAGCCAGACCTTATATATAAGTTCATGGACCTTGCTAATTATCAGGCAGCTCTAAATTCTAAGAGAGGAGCTGCCTTTGGATTTTCTAGGATAGCAAAACATGCTGGCGATGCTCTTCAACCTCATCTCCGTTTGTTGATTCCAAGGCTGGTACGCTATCAGTATGATCCTGATAAAAATGTCCAGGTAAGCACTAAGCAGTCCTAACTTATGACTTGTAAATTCTTTTGGTGCTTTTGTAAGTAATGTTCAGCTTTATTCTGGATTTAGTTTAATATTATTGACAATATTATGCTGTCCAAAATTATTATTATTATTACTACCTCTGGTTTTTATTTGTTGCAACAAAGAGTAATATTTGTGAGACATAAAAAATTCATTTGTTGCAACAAATAAAAACCGGAGGTTGTATTATTTTTTATCATACTCTCATTATTGGCCTTGCATGTGTTGATTCTGTTCATGTTAGGATTCAATGGCACACATATGGAAGTCGCTTGTCGTTGATTCGAAGAAAACAATTGATGAACACTTCGATCTTATTCTAGATGATTTATTGGCTCAGTGTGGTTCTAGGCTTTGGCGCTCTCGTGAGTCTTCATGTCTTGCACTTGCAGATATTATTCAGGGACGCAGGTTTGATTATGTAAGTAACTAATCATTATATGTTGATGAGAAATCCTGCTATGATTTTGTGCATTGTATGATTTTTGTAGTTAGTATCTTTTGGGATCTTGGGGTAGGAAAGTGTTGCATGCCATACTTGGACTAAGCCATTTTCTGAGTGTAAGACTAATCTTTTGTGGAGGTGGGTTTCCTCTTCTCCTTGCCTGGTGGACCTTTTTATAGCTTAATTAAAGAGGAAAAATGTCAAGAATTTTGATGATGGTAAAAGCTTCATAGCCTACAAGTATTGTAATGCAACTTCCACCTACTTGGGATGATAATAGATAAAGAGAAAATATTTTATACCGGCCAGTCATGGTGAACATGATGTATTTGTGTGTGACCTTATGTTGTAGGCTGCAATGGCAATAATTTCACACTTTCCCAAAATAGCATGAGTTGCAATAGTTGTGAAACGCTGGAAAATGTTTTGGTTGAATATGAATTTCAAGATGCATGTTTTTCTGCATTTACCACTTGTCTGCCACAAAATTATTTAGAAAAATACAACGTAATTATTTCACTCAATATCGTGGATCCTGTGTGGAAGATAACAGTCTTTTGAGTAGAGTCTCTTTGTGTTGATGTATACTGCAGCGTGTACATGTGTGTCACTTACATATGGCCACACGTGTGTGTGTGTGGCAGTTGCACTATGCAGGTGTGATGCTTTCCCGAATATGTCTCTGAAATAAAGACTTGCTCACACTTTTACAAAAGCGCTCTTTTGTAGGTTTTTTTGGAGATAATCTCTCGAGTAGTTTTAGATTAGTTAGAGGTAAGACTGCATTAATTAGGGCCTCTCTTGCCTCATAGGAATATATTGTTGCTGTTATGTACCTTTTTGAGTGTGATTTTTGTACTTATATTAGGGGTTAGGGTTTCTGTTAATATTTCATATGGGTACTCCTAAAGAGGAAGGGTGATGGGTTGAAAGACAGGGAAGAGCAAGAATTAGTGTGATGTTAAAGAGAAATTATTTGACAAAGATGGCTTGTGTAATACCTTAAAAATTGCATGCATAGCCGCATACCTGGTGGTGTTGATATCTCTTTTCTTTGTATTCACATTAGAGGGTCTGCATTGTGAAATAATATAAAAGCAGTTACATGATGCAAAGGCTGTTGCATTATCGATTTTCAACTTGCCTTTTATGTGATGGTCTGTTGCTTTTTGCATCAGTGCAGTCCATCTCTATTACATTTATTGATACTCTTTATTGTCCCCCCACTGCGAAAAACATATGACTCTTATTTTGGACATTACAAATCTCTAGAGGCTCTTTGCGGTCCTGGAAGTATATTTTCAAGTACTCTGTATAGGTTATAAAATTGATTAATATCATAGGAATTTTTTACTCTGTAATAGCTGTTAGGTAACCATTGTCATTATCACCAAAGTATGACTGCCTGTGTTTTTTTCTTTTTTTCTTTTTTTTTTTTTTTTTGGATTTTGTGATTTGCAACAGATTTTCATCTAGACATTTGATCTTTGACTTGATTTTCACATAACCTTTAATCAGATTATGTTAACATCAAAGTATGTTGACAATATGTTAACATCACAATTTGGTTTTGATTGTTGATTTTAAATTGCGCTTATTGGTGTCCTATATTTATGTTTTCGCTAGTTTGTAGGACTTGGTCCTTTGTGTTTCTTCACTTTCTTGGGGTCTTCAGATCCATCTTTGGAAATAGTGATAACTAGCATCGTATTTGACATTGTCACATTGATCTTAAATGCAACATTTTTTTCAGATTGGGAAGCACCTTAAAAAGCTCTGGATGGCTGCATTCCGTGCTATGGATGATATAAAGGAGACAGTCAGGAATTCTGGTGATAAGTTATGTCGTGCTGTCAGCTCCCTCACTATAAGGCTCTGTGATGTTTCACTCACTGATAAATCTGAAACTAGCCAAGCTATGGATATTGTGCTGCCACTTCTCTTAGCAGAAGGGATTATGAGTAAAGTTGATAGCATACGCAAGGCATCTATTGGATTGGTTATGAAGCTTGCAAAGGTTAGCAAGAAAAAAATGTTCCTGTCAAAATTTTCTATTCACATAGTACATGCAAAAATTATGGATGGTTTTGTTCCAAACCTACTACTTTGATGGTTAAATTCTTGTTCTGTATTGTATACTTGTTAGCTGTTTCGCAAGGGTAATGAGTGATACAATAAGTGGTTAAGCTTTGATCAATCTCAGGGTGCAGGAATTGCTATCCGTCCACATTTGGCTGATTTAGTGACTTGCATGCTGGAGAGTTTGTCAAGTCTGGAAGATCAAGGACTCAATTATGTTGAGGTATCGTGAATATTTTCTTTTTATGGCATTTCTCTTATTCTGAAGCCAGTATGACCGATGCTTGTTTCTCTCTACCATAGCTGCATGCGGCAAGCATCGGATTACAGAAAGATAAGCTTGAAAATTTACGGATTTCAATTGCAAAAGGCTCTGCAATGTGGGAAACTCTTGAGCTATGCATTGACGTAGTAGATGAGCCATCATTAGATCTTTTGGTTCCTCGGCTTGCTCAGTTGGTCAGATCTGGGGTTGGTCTCAATACTAGGTATGAAATTTAACTTGGGTACATACTTAACTACCTTTTCATAACTATACGCAATTTATACAATAATATATAATTATTAGCGAGGTTAGTCATTTTGCTTGTGAATTGAATTGTACCATACCTGACAGATTGCTGAAATATATCTATCTTATGGTGAAAGTGACTTAGTTTCTAATTTAACCCTTTTTTACTGATAACTCACTCTTTTCTTTTTTTGATTTCAAGGGTCGGTGTAGCATCTTTTATTACCTTACTGGTACAAAGAGTCAATCTTGAGATTAAACCCTTCACAGGAACGCTGCTGAGGCTTTTGTTCCCTGCTGTCATTGAGGAAAGAAGCGCATCTGCAAAGCGTGCCTTTGCCAGTGCTTTCGCCATGGCCCTGAAGTATTCAACGCCTACTCAGGCTCAACAATTTATTGAGGAAGTGGCTGCACTACATGCAGGTGACAGGAATGCTCAGGTGTCTTGTGCTGTTCTACTAAAAAGTTGCGCGTCGTTAGCTGCTGATGTCTTGAGTGGTTATCATGTGACAATATTACCCGTGATTTTCATTTCAAGGTCTGGATCTGGATACAAGGCATTTATAACGATTTTTATTATTATATGCTTAATAATGCATCTTTTTCTTGTCACTCAAAGTCATCGAATATTATTGTAGAGTTGACTGCCTAAAAACAGTTTCATAGATCACATATACAGTCTTGTTTTTATTTCTCTTGTAGCTGGCTAGTAATATAAGATTCCTTCAAATAAATCCTAGATCCGCCATCACTATGGCATCCCTGGCAAAATTTTAGGGTACTCTCTCTTAGGATCGTGTATAGTCTTCTTTTGATACATTTTGAAATATATAAAGGAGTATCAGGCCGTATTTGGCTCACCTTAGTTTGCTTATTTAAGTAAGGATTAGATTCAAATCTTCTCTGCTCCCAAGTTTATCTGGAGGGGTAAGGCTCCAAAGCTTTTTATGGACAACAGTTTTGAAATTGAGTACGCTGGATAATTTGCAGTTCCAGCAACGACTTTGAGCTTTGACCCCCTAATGTTTGCTTGTTCTTTGTGCTTGGCTTGACACCAACAGTCCTTTAAAATGTTAAAACAAATGTTGAGGAATAAAAAAAGATAGAAGTTATGGTAGTAATGATATCAGGTGTGAAACTAGCCAAGCTGGCAAAGCTCAAATGTAACTGTTGGGGTAAAAGCTTCATTACTTAATCATGTACGGCTGTGGAGCCTAGGTCAGGCTCTCATTTTTCTTCTCAATTCTGATGTAATGACTTAGTTTATGAACTATGACGACAAGAGCTGTAATGATATCATCTTGTATATGTATGTTGGATTCATGCCATATGGGTGTCACAGGGTGTGTTTCCTGTGAGTTTTATTTATTAATTGGGGTCATCAGATATGATAACTGCATTGCAATTAATTAATGACCTTTTTGGGTACTTTCCATCCTACCTCAGGAGTCTGGAGTATTGTTTGTTTAAAAAGAATTGAGTTGACATAGTCTGATTGCATTCAAACTAATCTCAAATTTGCAGATTTGAGGACGATAAGCATGTGTCTTGCTTATTTGAAGAGGTGTGGGAAGAAAATACTAGTGGTGATAACGTCACTCTTCAATTGTATTTGGGAGAGATAGTTTCACTTATTACAGATAGCATCACTTCATCATCTTGGAACTCCAAACGAAAGGTAGAAACTCTTCATTTTGACATCAATGACTTCGTGTGGCTAAATCACCAGATATACTGGTAGATTATGTTATTGATTTTTTTTTAATTCATATGAACTACTTTGGTCGACAACAGGCAGCACAAGCAATTACTAAACTTAGTGAGACATTGCATGAATCGCTTTCCACTCATTGTCAAGTTCTACTGAACTCGTTGCTGAAGGAGATTCCTGGTCGACTGTGGGAGGTTTAATTTTCTGCCTATAAGTTCTTTCCTAGAGTCTTCATGCTGAAGATATTCCAACTTAAATGATGTTTAATTGAACTTGAATCTGCGACAGGGAAAGGATGCTCTTCTAAATGCATTAGCTGCCCTTTGCACATCTTGCCACAATGTTATTTCTTCTGCCAATCCATCAGCTGCTAATGATGTCCTAAGTGTGGTTACCACTGCATGCACTAAGAAGCAGAAGAAATTTCAAGAAGCAGCTCTATGTGCTTTAGATCAGGTAATTCTTATATGCAGCTTCTTAACTAAGTGAATGTAATTACTCTTTCACGGATTTTTATCCTATTTCCACAACTTAGAGGAAAAAAGGGAACCATTTAGTAATTAAGACAATCAATTTGAGTGATTCCAACACGGAATAGTCACCTTGAAGAAAAGGGTGTACATGTTTTTTAATGGATGGATTATAGGATTGGTGGTGGAAGCTGGAGCTTATTATCGTGATAATATGAATGAGGGACTGTTAATTTGATAAGAATGAGAGGCAAGTTCACCCAAAGGATGAGCTATCCAGATAAAATTGTAGCAATCACTGTTTGTAGTTACTTTTCAGCTCTCGGCTCAATTGGAGCCTAGGTTAGGCTCTCATCCCATTGTTGTCCCTAATAAATGTTGTTTTCTCCAATCTTATCAGTTGACTTCCAATAGTGTTTCAGCCACCTGTCTTTGATGACAAATTAACAATCTATGATTCATCCTTTAGAAAAGTTCTTGGTGCAATTCCTTCTCTGGCCTCAGCATAGTTAAACACGGAACATATCGATCTTAGAATCTCGATCTTGAATATCCAGTGTTTACATGCTCCTGTGGAGTACTAGACTTGGCTTTGCAACTCTTTCCCTAGCTGTTTTTTAATCAAACTATCCTTCAGTCTTATTGTGTTTCTTAATTTTTTTTTTTTTTTGCTAATTAATGCTACAGTATAGCTTCACGGGAGTACTGGGCACTTCCTTGAACTTAAAACTGTATCCTCAAAATTGTTCTTCCACTCCCATGTCTCCTTCAAGACTTTCATGACTCTTATGCTTTTTCTTAAGACTTCAAATATTGATTTGGTTTATCTTAAACCTTCTTACAGTGTGCCTCAAATTCCTGATTCCCTCCTGTCTATATCGTTATACAAAACTCTGGCTACTAATCATCACTAGACGCCACCATGTAATCATGAATTAGCTACTGGAGACTTCTGCTATGCTTAGAAAAATTTTCTATGAATTTGTGCTATTCTCACTGAAGTAGTAAAGTCCATGTTTAGTATGCGCTGCATTCTTGTGCATGATTGACTGTTTGTGCTGTCTATGGGTCTGTTCCTACATCGGAAACTACCCTAAACTGCTGTTTTGTGTGCACTGCATATACGTGCTCTGCCATTACTATATGGTAGATTATTACTATCTAGAAAGCTAAAGAAGACGAGCTAAATTTTTCTACAAGGAAAAGGAACTCCTGCGATTTGAAAATTTTCTAAGAACATTTTGTAGAATATTTTCGTTGGTGTTTGCAAGGGGACTATTAATACAAGTTATCCATTGAGATACAATATTAACAATTGTCCTCTTCTTTTGTAGGTTATCAAGGCTTTCGATTCACCAGAGTTCTTTAATGCTGTTTTCCCATTGTTATGTGAGATGTTTGATCCAGCTGCAGGAGATAAATGTACACAAGAACCATCAGGAAGCACTTCCCTTAAATCAGGTAGCATGTGAAGTGTTATTTATGGAGCATTTAACTTCTCAAATTATGGACTGCATATATATTACAGCATAATAGAATTTTAGACCTCAATTGAGTGTTAACTGTTAAGTGAGAGTTGTACAGATAAACATAAGAGAATTCTCTGGTGTATCTCCTCAGCCTTGTTTGTTCATGTGCCGTTCACGGTGCTTGGACCTCGTGCATTGAGTGGTTACTTTTGATTTGTTGTTTTGTTTTTCATCATTTTACACCATTTCATTTGAAAGGAGTGTCGAATCTGAAAATACTTAGATGCTTTTGTCACAGAATCATGTTGTCAATCATCATATTTTTGTCCAATCAAATCCTTATTAAATAGTTCAACTGAATTCTAACTCCAAATAAGAGACATGTAACCTGTCAATCTGAGCCCATAATTTAGTGTTATCTTCCAAATGGAATACTCTTGGTGTCTTGGGATCTCAACTTTTAAATGACTGATGTCACATGAACAATAACCTTTAACAGCTGACATCAATGTAATCTAGATGGATTCAGGACTTTAAAATATTTTGGATGTCAGAAACGAAAGTGGGTTTCAGTTAATATGCTTTAATATAAAGGTCTGAAAGGTATGTGTGGGTTTTAAGTTTTCATAAACTAAGGTAGGTGTGCACGTAATACAGGGGTTTATTCGGCAACATTGTATACATTATAGCCAGCCAGTTTGCTCTTATTGCGTAGGCTCATTGTTTTACTTGTACGGTTGTACCCAGTGCCAACAGAGTATCATCTTCATCTGGAGTTGTTGAGTATTCTCAGTCTCACCCACAAACTACTCAAATTTTCTTCTTCAGAACTTCTGTAACTCTTTGCATGCTTGCTAGTCCGTACAGCTTACCCAAATTCCAAGCGTTAAGTTTTCACCTAGGTCTATATAGAGTCATGAATGTTCGATTGTTAAGAATGACAATTAACACACAAGCTGTTTGGCTTTTTATTGTCATACACTTTGGTCCACTAACCCCATTTTGCTCCAATCACCATGAGCTGACTGCCCTAGTGAAGACCCTTTTTGGGGTCACAGACTTACAGGTGCCTCACTTACCTACATCTGATATTTGCTTTTTCTTAAAGACATCTTAGCATATGTAGTCTCTCCAAGTCTTTTGGTCTTTTGGAAACAATTTCTCTTTTGGTTTTAACTGATTAGGAATGGTATAAGGCCTGCACATATATGGATCTCTGAACCTTCCATCAATAATGTTGAGTCTGTATAATACTATAATCTTTGTTGCCTGTCTATGCTTTCTTGTCACAAATTCTATGATTTCATATTTCAAGCTCATTCATAGGGAAACACTGTTCAATAGCTGTTGACTTGCTAGATTAACAGTGCTTGGTTTCAACTAACTTATTGAAATGGAAAATGCATTAAGTGTTAACTCTGTTCATCTTAGAGATGCCTAAAGAAGTAGAAATTTTATGAGCTTAGATGCCGAATCTCATCCCGGCGACCCTCAGATCATCTATAAAGTTAGTAATGGGAATCCACTCTTTTCCCATATTTTTATCTTCCCTTGCTCGATAATGAGACCTAGTTGACTATATATCCTTTAACCAGGTGTAATGCAAATTGTTTGAGGTTGTTACCTTCCCTTTTTAAAATCCCCTGCAGGAGGCTTGAGAAAATTTGATATTATATGGAGTGCAGAAATATTTTTATCATGCTATGTTTTTTGATAAATCTGAAAGCTCTTGATAGTTGTTACATGTATGGTCTGGCTGTTGCAGGTTCTGATAAGGAAAAAGATAGTTATGTGCCACGTAGTAAAATTTTAGATTGCACCACGTCTTGCATAAGTGTTGCTCCTATTATTGATGTTCTTCAACAAAAGCACAACTTGATGTTGCTGTTATCCCATGCCTTATCACCTGCATTTCCGTGGACAGGTAATTTGACGTATGATTTGATTGCTGATCTATGAGATAAGTTATTGCCATCGGTTTTTGCTAACACTCTTGTTATGAACAGTCAAAGTGTCGGCATTTATTACCATAAAGAAGCTATGTTCAAAGTTAAAAGCTACTGTATGTGGTTCCACCCTAGAAGATCCTTTACTTGCTGGTGCAGTGGCATTAATCAATGAGGTTCAAACAAAATTTAATTAATTAACACTGCTTACTGTCGTTCTATATTTACCTTTGGATTGTGACCTCTTTGTTGCTTCTTCAGTTATTCATCAGTGCATCTGGCAAAATTGTGGATTGTATTAGCAATGTTAAGATCGCACAGGTACGTGGTTGCTTTTGCCATATGTAGTTTGTTTTGCCGGAGAACTTAACATTTGCGAATAAATGCATCATTCTAAGGAATAATTATAAATTGAAATTCTGTTGCTAATTTAACAATACAACTGATTGGAGTCAGCTAATCCATGAAGGATTTTGGATAATAACTCGTTTTCTCACGATAGTGGGGGAACAAGGGTTATATCTCATCTTATTGCAAACTGCAATCTGCTTTGGTAGTAACTTTTTTAGCCTTCAAATTGTATTCACAATCTAACAAGGTGTCTTTATACTATTCAACTAGGTTCATGTTGCTGCTGCTGAGTGTTTGCTGGAAGTGATTGAAGTCTATGGAGCTATTAAACCAGCGTCTGCAGTAGATGAAGGGTTTAAAGAAAATCTAGCTCAGTTGTGTGAAAATGAAAAAAATGAACTGGCAAAATCATTGTTGAAAAACTGTATAGTCCACCTTGAGAAGTTGTAAGCAGTCCCGCATTGATAAATCATGAAATTTTGGATTGCTGTTAACTATTAAAGCAGGAACGAGCTGTGAGTTCATAAATTTATCCAGATGCTAGTTGAATTTGTACAAAGGAAACGCATAGATTACGAGTCAGCTCAAACGTTATTGCACTAGTAATTAGCTGGTGTATGGGCTCTCTTCTCTCAGCTCCGCATATGTTGTTGATACAAGGTTTTTATACAAGTTCAACATTACAGGACACTAAATTGTGTATCTCTTACAACAGTTTGGAGCAAGTATTACAACATATATTACTGTCTTTCATCACTCTCCCCATTGTATATATAAGTTTATTTTAACAAAACTAAAGTGAAGTTAAAAAAAAGTTTGTAATGCAACTTGATAATCTAGAATATTTTCTATCTTTCCCTCACTTTGGTCAATTACAACTTTTGTGTCCCTCTCTCTAGATTATGAAAAAGCCTATGATTTCGCTTCGATTACAATCTGCATTTAATACTTCCTCTATTTCTCACGTTATTAATTTGTTGAATTTTCAACATTCAGCCAAAATCGCTGCAATTTCAAAGATGTTATTTGCCATGAAGTTGTTTCTTGCACTGCAAGGCTACATATACATTATACAATAAGTTTTGTATGAGGCGGACTTATATTAATTTATTGTAAAATCGTCAATTTGAGGGTAAGTTTAACAATTTTTATAGTAACTTTAATTACTTGAAGGGTAATTTTGTAACGAGTTTGATTATATTTTAATGTGTAATATTCTAATGGATACATGATATGAAGGCTAATATGATTAATCTAATACAGTACATTTAAAGTGTATTTTTAAGGTACTTTTGTAGTATGTTCAGGTAACTTTAACCCGTCTTACAATAAGTTAATGAAAGTCCACCTTAATCTATTTAAAATGAAATCAAGAATTTGTGCAACAAATAACCATTGAATATGAAAATGGTATAAATTTAGTAGTTTAGTACAAAACACGCGTTATTAATGTCTATTTATTTTCAAGCTTTCCTTTTTAGCTTTTTTTAAGAAAAATGAAATCTTTCCTTTTTTTTTAGCTTGTTATTTTATTTGGACGATTTACCAAAATATGGTTAATTTGAAACTTATTTACCATTTTCCGTCACTAAACTTATTTACAAAATTGTTGTTCATGTAGGCTCGGAAATACGTTTGGGTGTATTTAATATTTATAAAGACAAACCGCTACTTCAGATAGCGGTTTTAGTATCAGAACTGCTATTCAAAGTAGCAGTTTTCTTTAGTACTCTACAAAGCAACAAACTACTCTGTTGAATGCATTAAAATTAAAACAAAAAAAAACATAAAAATAAAAAAATAAAAACCACGACAATCCTCTCCATCTCCACCAGACCACCACGCACATCACGTCGCTGGTCGTGATCGACGTCCTTCTGCGCACCAGCGGCCGACCCAATTCACGTTGCCACCACAAATTGATGAATAAAATGGTATTTTGATATTTAACTCCAAATTGAAAAGCCACTATCACTACTTCACCTATTTTGGAAGTGGATGAGTCAAAATTTGAAACACCATCGCCATTACATTGTAAAAAACATCGTTAGAGTAGGAGACATGTAAATTATTTTGCTTCATCGGAACTCATTTTGGTAAATTGGAACATTTGTAATACTTACTTTAGTCAATCCAATGTTAAATTTAGGACATTCAAGCAATTTTATTTTTTCACATTCGTAAAAAAAAAAAAAGACATGTAACAACATCTAGTTTTTTTTTTTTTTTTTTTTTTTTGACGAGGTAGGTTTATTTTATTATATTTTGTCTTAGTTTAATCAAATTTTTTGCTTGAGTAAATATTTTTTATACCAACTTGTTTCGGTAAAAACAATGGGACCTTCGGCAGGTCCTTGGGATGAGTGGAGATAAAGCCCAATTCGAGTGATGACCGAATTGGGGATTTCCTGCACAGTTAAACAAACGTAAACTGGCCTCGGGGGTTGTGCCGAGGAAGACTCCTCCGATGCCGAAGTCAGTACGAGTGTAAAAGGGAGAGAGAATTGCTATGCAAGAGTCTTTGTTGCTTGAGGCAATGTGAGTGAATGAAAGTAAGTGAGGCAAAATGAGAGTTTATATACCTTACTCCAATTAAATGGATTGGGCTTAATCAATTAGTTGTAGCTGCCATCTGATTGGGCCCCATTGACTTGGACTTGGCATATGTATTAGAGGGCTGAACCTTACAAATTTTTAACTAGACTCTAGTGTATGTAGCTTTCCCTACCCCCCCTTTCTATACTACGTCGTTTTATCAAGCAGCTATTTTTGCATAATTTTTTTCCTTCCCTTCTTTACCTTCTATTCAAATAAGTACTGTATATAAATATTTTTATAGGCTTCATTTTCTCTCTCATTTCTTTCACCAATTTCATTTTCTCTCTCCTCTTTTTCACCAATTTCATTTTCTCTCTCCTGGTTTTTTTTTTTTATTTATTGTTTTTCAATTTTCTCTCTCTTCTTTCATGGAGATCAATATAAGTAATTCTTACTTTTAATGATAATTAGTCAATTGTTTTGATAATGCTTTGTTTTACAATTGTAATTGGATGATTATAATGATCTGATTTCATAGTTTTTGTTGTATTGACTTTAATTTTGATAATGCTTTGGTTTTGTTATTGTTGTTATTAGTTGATTAATAATTTAGTTTGTATTGTTCATCTAATTCGGGGTTTTTTTTTTGTATTTTTGATTGTTGTTTATTCCAGTTTTGTGCGTTTCGTATAAGTATATATTGTTGTTTTAATTTTGCTATTCGATTATTTTTACTAGTTTTGTGCGTCATAAAAAAATAATCTTAGTTAAAATAATGATCACTTCTGTAACAGTAAATGTTCATTTATATTTAATGTATTTTTTATGTATTAAAATACTTGTATAAGTTTATTGTAGTTGTATTTGAATACTTATGTTGTACATGTGAATTTCAATTATTTTCATTGTTTTATAAATGCTCATATACATTTTAACTAGTGAATATATTTTATATTTGTTCTGTTGTAATAATGTTCATTTATGTAATTATAAATGTTCATTTATATATATACTTGTGTTTATGGAATTATATGTTGTACATGTGACTTTTTTTTCATGATTATCACTATTTTGTAGTTTCAGAAATAATGTTCAGTTATATGACGATAGATGATTATTTATGTTTTACATTTGGTAATTCAACTGTAATTTCTATTATCTTCCAAAAATGTAAAAATTCCTATAAATGCTCAAATGGCTCTAATATTTATAAGAATATCTTTAACCTTTTGTTATTAGGATCTTGCTAGCGAGCCCCGGGGCGTTAGATAAGGTTAAATTATATTGGTTGAAATAGTATTAAGTTAGGAATTCATGACAAAATCATGCGTCGTTCGGTGCAATTAATGTTAATTTTACTCTAATATTTGCACTTTAATTCTCTTATCTAACGCCCCGGGGGCGCTCATTAGCTTTTGCCTTATTATTAAGTACTATTCTTCTTATTGAATATTAATTTTTTTTAAAGTCTTCTATAAGTGAATATTTTAGTATTTGTAATTGAGCATTTAGTTTTTAAAAATGATCATTAAGTTTTTGTAAAGAATCATTTAGCTTTTGTGAATGATCAAAATTGATTAACATAATACTTTACATAAAATCCGCAATTTTCATATAAAATTGTAAGAATTATTCTATAAACAAATAATATCTACTCCGTATCAAACTTTAAACGTATAAAATTAAATAGTTAATCACATAGAGTAATTCTGTTAACAAATAATATCTACGAAGTATAAGTTTTATCAACCAGCTATGGACATATATCCATCCATAAGTGAACATATTATATTATGCCTTTGCAAATCTTCTTGATGCTATTCTATTATTCTTAGACTCATGTTTTTTCTTCAGTAGCATTAGTTGAGCAGTGTATTGCAATTTGCATCCCCAACCTTGTGATTTAGCCTACATGTTAATGAAAATGAATTGTTATTAAAATAAACAGTACATTGAGTGTTATATAATTGAACATTATGTGCTACAAAATTGAACACTAAATACTATAACTTGTTTATTAAATTTTACTTAAAATGTTAGCTTTAAAGGCACAAACCTAGATTTTCGACTTATTGTTCTCTTTTTGCCCAGCTTTTTAAGAAATTTTAAAGTTGAATTGATGGTTTATATATACTTCATTTTTTTATGATAAGAATGTATAAGTATAACTAAGCGTTATATTTATGAACATTTAGTTATCTATATTTGAACATACTTTTTTAATTATGTATGAATGTGTGTCTTGAGTTTGTTAAAAAAAAAGTGTATCTTGAGTTGTACGTAGGTATACTATCTTCTTTTCACTTAAAATGGTACTTCCTCCGTTTTTCTTTTATTGCACCATAAGGACTTTTACACTATTCACTTTATCTTCTTTGACCATCTTTTGTGATTTATCCTTTAGGAAAAACATAGTCATGTGGGATCTAGTTACATTCGTCTTGAAATCTACTTTTCAAATATCAATTTTTAATAATTTTCACAAAAGTATAATTAAAGATATTAATAGCCAAAATAATGCATTGACAAGCGTGAAACACTTTATACTAATAAATGTTCATATATTACAATCCAGCTTATGGTGCAATAAAAAAAAGAACGGAGGAAGTATAAAAATTACAATCCAGCTTTGTTTGTTATGCATTTTATAAATGTTCATATATGTGTGTAGAAATGTTCATTATATTTTAAAATCATGAACACATTAATAAATGTAAAAGCAGATATATAAACTATTAATTAACATTTAAATGAATGGTATTTCAAGTTTTGTATGCATTCATAATATTTTATACTAATCATTAGCACATATTTAAAAAAAAAATCAAATTAGAATATGTTAATGAATACATATTAACATGTAATTATAGGTAAATACGTGAATAATTTCATTATATGGAAATGAACGTATAGTGCTTTGTAATTGTTCAATTTACCTATGCATTCGAGATATTATTTTTTCAACTGCAACACTCGATGCTTGTATATCTTTTAAAAGTGTTGGATCTACAATAGGACATTTTTTCTCACTTTTTTTTTTCTTTTTCTAATTTTATGTAGAGGTGTTTCATCATCACTGTTTTTACATTATATATTTATTTATAAATAATTTTTTTGAAGAAATATTTGTAAATTTTAAAAGTTCGAGTAAATATATATTTACATTTCTGAAGAATCATTGTTTTTCTTCTCTGAAATAGATTTTTCCGAACCGAAAATTAAATTGAAACAAGTATATGTTAATATTACTAATTATTTGCCTCAAAAAAAAATATTACTAATTATTCGAAATTAAATAGTCGCTTTGAAATTGATCAATAATTAACATAAACACTTACATTGATACATTTTCAGCGATTGAACTATCAATTTGTTTCTCGGAACACAATCACAAACAAATTCTCAAAAAATTAGGGTTTGTATTTATATCTATTTTTTTTTTTTGCTATAAACATGAACATTAATACTTACTCTTTTGATTTCCGCTTGTTTTTTTTTTTTTTTTTTTTGGTGAAATTTGCTTCAATTGTTTGATTTCGTCTATGAAATCTGCCATTGTTGAAGTTTTAGAGCTTTAGATGCGAGAGAAAATGGAGAGAGAAAATGAAAAGAGATTGAGATGAAATGAAAGTTTTTGTTTTTTTTTTTTTTTTTTTTGTGTGTGTGGGGTAAGGGAGTTTACTGACAGTTTTTTTTACTTAGGATAGTAGGGTGTATTGTGGCCTTTGTGGGGAGTAATGGTACGCTGTGTTTTGTGGGGGTGTAGGGATAGTTCCCTACCATAGGGTCTAGCCATAAATAATTAGGTTGAACCTTGCCTTTTGGGCTTTAATTTGTTTTCATTTATGGACTAGGCCCAAATACAAGTTATTTGGACCCGAAACACCAACTTATATAAAGAAATAGTTTACTCCGTATACTTTAGCATTATTCAAAGATGAAGGGATTATATTTTAGCATTATTTAAAGAAATCACTTAAGACAAAACGAAAAAATTTAAAAAAAGAAAGCGAATTTTCAGATCCCTTATGCTAACCTAAAATCCCAAAACAAAGAAGCCTAAAACCCTCGTCTTCCTTCGTAAAATTTCATTCATTGTTTTTCAGGTTATATGTAATTGATTTCTCTGTCTCATTCATTCTTTTTAGGGTTTAAATTTGATTTTTGCATCAGCAGTTTGATTGAAATTGCAAGATGAAAATGCGGGAAAATAAGGGAGGTGCGAAAGCAGAAAGCGGAAGCTCTTCCAGAAGTGGTTTGGAATTAAATGGCAAACAATTGGATTTTCGCTCTATTATGAAGGAAGTTGAACTTCTTGGTAAATTCCCCTCTAATTTCTTTCAATTTTTGTTGCTTAATTTTTGATAAATGCTATGAATGTGCCATAATCTTAGGTATTGAATCTAAAGATTTCAGTTTTGTGTTGTTATTTGCTTAATAATATATGATATTTGGGGTAAAGCTTACAACTTTATATCTTCAATGTTATAATTATATGTGCTTCGTATTACTGAGTAGTAAATTTGCAGAATTTGGGAATTGAGACTATTGGGGGAACTGCAATTTAGCTTTAGTGGTACGATACAACCGGTTGTACAATAGAAATTACCGAAGGGAATAGTGGAAGTGGGACTATAGAGTCCCCTTCCTCTTTCGAGTTCCAATTAGACTTTAAATTTAACCAACCAATGAGCCTATTTTATTTACATCTTAGAAGTTGGAATTGAATTCCCACATTGGTTAACATTCTACCAAGATTGTTTCATACGAGTTTTTACAGTCTCTAATACATGTCTTAATCATCAATTTCATATGCGTAATATTTGGAAGTACTCGTAATTGATATTGTAAAATTTTCCGTTATTAAGAATCTAACAATATCCCACATGATTACTTAATTTGTTATATGAGTACTCGGTAGATTAGTGGGATTTGTGATCAGATTTTCTTGTTTGATCCCAAAATATGCTAGGAAGCAATCTTCAAGAGACTAAGTGAGTACCAACCAAGACCTTATATTTTTGCATTTGGATGATTATTTTATTCTGCTTGGGTAATGAAGTACCTTGTCTCTAGTTTGCTGTGTCTCCAAATATAATTTTAGGGGATGGGGGAATGCAGGATGCAGTATATGTGCTCCTTGCACTTGCAAACTTCCTAACTGCTGTGAATTTTAGCTTCTGTATTTATCTATGGTTATGTGATATGGTTGTGAGCTGTTTTCGAATGTATTACTAGTGATCAATTAAACTTTATGTCATTGCAGGATCCTCTGATATGACATGGAAAGAGAGGAAGGATTTGCAGAATAAGAAGGTCGTTTCATTGGGTGGAAAGGTAGGCACTGCTGACATACCTTATGTTTGGATTTTGATCTGAAAATTTTGATTGAATCTGCTGATAAACAATCATTATGTATTTATGTGTTAAAGGCTCCCAAGACACAGAGACTACCACTAAGTGTAGCGCGGCCAATGATGAAGAATCAAAAGAAAAAAGAAGAGAAGATGTTGCAACAGGTGGTGATTTCAGAGATGGACTTAAATTTGTTTGAAACTTGCTAGATTCTGAATGTAAAGTGGAAACTTGCTGATAAAACCTTTTTGCAGGAGTTACTACTCGGACATTGTGGGGAAAGCCTTATCAAAAGGACTAAAAGACCTGAAGAGAAGCGCAGGCCTGAAGATGGAGTGCTGAGATCAAGTGAAGGACGTTTCCGAAATGGAGTTCTTGATGTCAAACATTTATTAAAATCCGCTCCACCTCCAAGGAATGATGATCATGGTCCTCCTATGCCTAGTAAAGGGAGGAAAAAGAAGGGTGGCAAAAGAAAGGGTGGCAAAAAGAAAGGTGGTGGTGGGAAAAAGCGCCACTAAAAGGATTATTGAGCGGAAATAAACCTCAAGGGCATAAAATATACTACTATGTACAATAGAAGCAGCCAAAGCATATTTGACTGAGAAATGATATCCTTACATGATCAGAAATCTTTCTATGTACACTGTGAGTAGCATCTTCAACGCTTAGCTCAAAATTTTCATCCACGGCTGTTTTAGAGGTTGTAACTTGTTAGCCAGTGCTGATCATATCATCAACTCAATTGTTTATTGCTCAATCATGCTTGCTTTTAGTAAGTTGATGTGTAGAATTGTGGATGGTAATGTGGCGATTGGATTTTTGTCAAACAATACTGTTAACCCCTACAAAATTGTATCCCTCCAATTGTGCCTATTCAATTCTTGGAGTATACGAGGATTGGCGTATATACTCCGTACTGTATTTGAGTTGCTTAATACGTAGTACATGGTTTGTTCTCACTTAGCTTCGTCTATGTATGATCAATTGTTCACTGTATGAGTTACAGTAGTTTATAAGAACAAACACATTTGGAAGTTCTCCTCTCGATGCTCCGTACTATACCAGCACTAATGTCTATTAAGTTACAAATTGACAAACGAGTCTTTTGACAAAACACGAAGTTATTGTTTGCCCTTTGCCCCTTTCTTATGCAACGTATAATTGGAATGGTTGTCTAGTTGTCTTTGTTTTATTGCTGGCACTGAGGAGGGCAATCAAGTCACTTCTCACTTGTAACGATTTTGTTGATTCAGTTCGGGTCATTCTATAGTGATTTGTTAACTTAATCTGATTTCGGAATGTCAAATTGGTTATTGGAACCATTTCTTGCAATTCTGGACTTAAATACAACATGTTCCAAAATGGCCCTAGAATTGAATCACACACTTTCTCGGGACTTTATTGGTTGGACTATTATTGTTTCAAACCAATTTTTATGACCCCAATAAACAACCATCACATTCAATTTAAATTTGGAAAATAATTTCAAAATTGATCTAAAAACATGGATTATAGCCTTTAGTGTTAGATTTTTTTTTTTTTTAACCTATTCTGCCCTGAAAAGGAAGATGTTAGAATGTTTTCTATGGACCCTACGACATCTCAATGTACTATTTGAGTGGTTGGAATCATCGGCTTTTTCGATCCTTCAAATTAACGGTGTAGCCAATTACATACAAGCCCCCTTCATCAACTCATGACCACTACAAGCTTTTATGTATGCAATTAGTGAATGTATTTGATTCTAAACAACATTATATGATTATAAAAAAGTAAAAATCAATCTCTATCATCTCTTGAATTCTCGACATTGAGATTGATCTGATTTCGTGTATTATAGCGTTGAGAGTATTATTTGCTTAACAATATAATTCTTCCTGTTTTCTTCTTTAAAAAAAAAGTATATAAAAAAAAAGGAAGAATACATTTTTAAGACTTTACATCTAATACAAAGTGTTAATTACAGGGTAGTTTAGTAAAAGTGGTAACCAAACCATAAATCTTAGATAAACCCTAAAAAAGCATGATCTATTTAGAAGGTTCTAGTTGCTTTGCTTTACTTCTAGCGAAGACCAGTGCTCAATTATAATAACCACAACAAAACCCTTGATTTCTACTTCTAAACCCCAATTTTCTCTCTCCTCCATTTTTTCTAGGTAATTTGCAGACTTTGAGAAATATGGCAAAGCGGCTTATTCCCACTTTCAATCGCATTTTGATTGAGAAAATTACTGCTCCCGCCAAAACTAATACTGGAATTTTGCTCCCAGAATCTTCTAGCAAGGTCTGATTAAATCCCTTTGTTTTCTATTTAATTGAATTTTATTAGCTGTTTTTTTTGTTGATTATAGTGTATAAGTTGAATTCTAATCTGGGTTAGTTGCATTTTTACATATATTTTGTTGCTTTGATCTAATTGATATATATATTCTATGAATCTATGATATTGGTTAATAAGCTGTTTTTTTGATGATTATAGTTTATGAATTGAACTCAAATCTGGGTTAGTTGCATTTTTGCATAAAGTTTGTTGCTTTTGATCTATTTAATGCCCAAACTATGTATTTTATGAATCTGTGATTTTGGTTAATTGCATTTTTGTTTATCAATATATTTTTTTTCTAAATGAATGCTGCTAATATTTTGGTTGCAAATGCCAAAATTGTAAATTTTTTATTTTTCTTTATTTTTATTTTAATGTATTAACTTTGGAGGGTATTAGGGTTTTAATTAATTCTATGATATTTGTCGGTCAATACTACTGTATAATTTAGTTTGCTTAAAAATGGATTGCTTATGGTTATTTTGATGCAGCTCAACTCTGGGAAAGTAATTGCCGTGGGCCCCGGGAGTCGTACCAGTGACGGGAAACTAATCCCTGTGAGTGTGAAGGAGGGAGATACTGTTCTATTGCCTGAATATGGTGGCTCTGAATTTAAGCTTGAAGATAAGACGTGAGTTTTGTTTTATGGTTGATTATATCTATTAGTGTACTTAGGAAGCTAAAATAAGAGTAATTTTGTGATTGATTTTGTTTGGAATAAACTCTGATCTTTAAAGTTTTCAAATGTGCTTCTAAAAAAGTGTGAAAGTTTAAATTGCTGCCAAAGGATCCAGAATTTATTACCAAGTTTAATCATTGCAAGATACAGTATTACCTTGACAAACTTAATTGCTGATAAATCAAAGAAATGATGACCAATTTTAGAATGGTAGTGTTTTGTTAGAAGAATTAACTAGTGTTATTGTTCTTCCTATACTATATGGTTTACATGTGGTTTAGGGGTTTCATATGGATTTTCAATTGTAGAGTCTTTTCGTATTGTACAGCAACCATGTTAGGTTAGTGCACTTAGGGAGATTTCAATAAATTTTTTCTTGCGGTGTTGTTTCTGGTAAAGTAGTAAAACTATGGATTTTGGTGCTGCTCAATTGTGCTTCAATGAGTGAAAAGGCTCCCGTCTTTACAAAGATAGTTGTGCGTCGCTTGTAGTATGAACTATACATAATCATGCTGTTTATATCCATTATTATTCCTTGGGAATTGTTAAATAATCCAACCTATGCAGAAAAATTAGTTATGGACTTGTGGCGGTATAGCATATGGTTATAATAATATTTTAGGTGATGTACTTCAACAAACCGTGGTGGTATTAGTATATTGCAACAAGCTGTGACTTATTGGGGCCTGATTTTTCATTGATCAATTGTTGATGCATATAAAAAAACTTAGCAAAAATGACATTTACATTTGAATTGGAATAGAGGTGATGTATAAAAAGATTTACTGGTTATTTTTTGCTTCCCCATTTGATCTGCACCATTCTTGTTGTAATGTTATGGTGTCCTGGGGTTCCAAGGATGTCATTTTTAGTTTATCAAGCCGTGTAGAAATTATACAGCACCCATGCTAGGGAAGTGTGCTGTATGGGATGCTGGTGCTGTTAAATTACCCTTCGTTGAGTCTAAAGGCTCCTATCCTTACAACGCATAATATTTGCATTAGTGTTGATGATACTTGGTGAAATTCTTTTGGAATTGCTGATCAGTCTAATTATGGAACTATGGAGTAGGGGTGGTGGTAGCTTGTATGTTTATGAGTCCTTATGATGGCATATGCTGTATATGGTATTATTGTGGTGGTGATTTTTTTTGCAGTTATACTTCACTTTAATGGCTGTGGTAGACCATTTGTATTAGTATATCAGATGATTTTAAAATTCTAATTATTGGGATATACAAGTACAAAGTTTATTAATACTTGGGGATTGTTTTTTCATTGCTTTAATTTGACTTGGATTGTTGAGGCATGTTGTCTGTCACTGTTTGTGAGTTGGTATTTTGTATGTTTTAGTTCATAATATATGATATAATGCATGTCTTGATACAATGGTTGAGTATCATGCGTGTGATTATATTAGGGATGACAAATGTATCATTATTTATGTTTGTAACTGTTGTTGCTTGTGCTCCTCTTGCAGGTATCATCTGTACCGGGAAGATGACATTCTTGGAACTCTACATGATTGAGTGTGATTCAGTACGATCTTCAGGCCATTTTTAGGAGCTTCCCCCCACCCCCAAAAAAAAAAAAAATATACTAATAAAAAACCCCAGAAAGGGGTCAAAGAGGTCAATTGATGAGGTAGAAATACTCTCCTTCTGTAACAATACCAGAACCAAAATTGGTGATTAAATTGCAAATTTTGGGAATATTTTCATGTTATTATTAATTTGACAATTTCTGATCACTGTTATGGAATTAGTATGGTTTGGTTTCGCCTTTTGCTTGTTGATCATAGCAATACATTCTTGAAGTTAGAGATGCAGGGGTTCTTTTGAACGTAATGGCTTCTTAGAGTTCCATGACTTGTCGGTCGTAGCAGCCTTCACCAAAATTAGTGGTGTCTTAACAGACTTCATTAATCATGATCTATTTGATTAATAAAATTTCCTCAAATAATCAACATCAAATATTCAATGCGAGATTATTGCCTTCGTCCAATCCCTTAAGCTTGGACAAAGCTCTAATCAAGCAGCAGAGAGGAGTGCTGTGGAGTATTGACTAATGTCTAGTCTATTGATGTTGTCAATTGTCATGCCTTAAGAAGCCATGCAAGGTTGCAACAGTGATATACAGATGTACTTATCAATCTAACTTGATCCAATTTGTTAATAATTTTTACATATATTTTCATATGTAAAAGTCAAATAGTTGCAATTAATCTGACATAAAAAGAGTAATAGTTCGTAACTATAAAATTTGAGTGCAATTATAGTCCTGTATTAGCAGCAAATATTTTAGCTACGAGCCGACATGAAAAATTGGAATAACTTCCGATGTGTTTACAGCACTTGCCACAGCAGTCAGGGGACTAAATCTTCAGATGCCAATAGTTGCTTGTACACAGTAGAAAGTCCACCTAAAAAAATTCGACTATCGTCACCAAATATAAGCCTAGATGATCCTCCAAAGCAATATCTATACTGAAAATGGACAGACATTGCTGTCAAATCATCTTAGATCTAGGTATTACTTCATGTTAATTGGAAAATGGGCAACAGCGAAAACCATTGAGCCAGTTAACAACTCAAGATGAGTTTAAGAAGTTTTCCATATCTTCTCTGCTTAGCTCTTCATGCACCTAGAATAAGAAACCAGAGTTCATCAGCAACTATACAGTATACAATATACTCAACAAATAAAGTTTAGTTATTTATTCATCTAAAATTTCCTTCTTGGGTTGAGGAAGGGGTTGGGCAGGAGAAAAATGTACAGTGTCAGCCTAGATATGATACATACAAGTTTCTGATAAATCTTCTGGAAGGCGTCACAGAACTTCTCTGCCTCAGCCGGGCCAACCTATCAAGAAATGAAAATTTATTAAACAGCCAGACTAAGAACAGGACATTGTAAGTGCTAACTGTTAACCAAATAAGGAAGTATATATCAGAAATCAAGACATGTCTTATTGCAACAAGATAAATCCATTTCATTCCAAGACTAATTTTAACATTAACTAATTTTAACATTGCTGGTCTGATTTTATTAAGGTCTGATCTGATCTGATTCAATAATTTGACTAAACTTTGACTGCATTTTAATACTAATCTATAAAGAAAAACATTATCAAAATGGATCTTATTAGATTAATCTCATTATGAACTTTTCAAATATATAATTTTCATAATTTTTTTTTAATACGCAATTAACGATATTTAGCAATAAGTAAATGATAATTAAAAGTTCTGATTTGATCTGAATGTTCATTTTCTGGTCTGATCTGATCTGAATTTATTAAGAAATAAGTAATAAGTATCTGAAACAAGTTGAAGAGAACAAGTCCTAACACTACAGTATCATCAAATATCAGCATATGACAGCTCATCTAAGTAATGACCTCTGTCCCCGCATCCCTAAAACAAGTTAACATATACTTTTTGCACGGAGATAATGACGAGATAGATGTGAAGAGTGAAAAAAAGCTGGCGATGTGGCCTACTGAAAAGGCGATGTTGACATCTTTATGTGCCATCCCAGAATTGAAGGTATTTTGCTCAGGTGCAAAGCGAGTACATGACAACCTCTATGTGCCAAACAATAGAAATGCAGTTCCGGAAATCTTTGAAAAAAAAGTACACTAGCCCGGTGAAAGAGTCAGATAAGATACTGATGCCAAATCTAACTTATCTAAAAATTTGCCACTAGATAAGCAAAACAGATGAGAAGTTCCATCATCTCAACACAATTGGCATGTGAAGCCACTAAAGAGGAAATGGAGCTACAATAAAAATTTAGGAGCAAACAATAAAGGAGCCTATCCGTGGGCAGTTCACTGCACAAGATGAAGCCTCCCAAACTAATTAAACCATCATAGCTCTATAACTTGATGGTTCTCCAACAATATAGCAGGGCAAGACTCAAAAGATCACCAATTAGTGTGAAAAAAACACAAACAGACACTTGTCATCTAGATTGATTTGAAAAAGCTCAAGTTCATGTTGGTGTTTGAAAGAATCTCACAGGCATCCACACATTAACCTAGTGAAAGATCTTAACGGACTTCCAGGTCTTCCACAACTAAACAAGTCCTACACACTTTGAAGGATATCGGTGAAATATTTCAAGAATGGTTGAAGGAAGGATCCCAGTAGACGGGCACATGGCCACATTCAATCCTTATATGACACCAAAAATACACTTTTAATGGCATTGGTAAAAAATCTCAAGAAATAGTTGAAGGAAGGATCCTAGGCTGAGACAAACATATGGAAGTACAATTAAGTCATTTGATCCTTATATGACACCAGATATATAATCACCTCCTGTTTGATGGCTATAAAGTCAATAACCATGCCTGTGAAAGTTGGGGAAAAATCTTGGTAGAATCCTACTGTCACCCAACAACATTAAATGGCATTATACAGTAGATTAGTAGACACAGACTAGCAGCTTGATTTCCATGAAAAATACCATAAGTCATTAGAGAAAAAGTTATTAAGTATCCAAATTACTAACACTCATGCTCTCAGGATTGAAGAAGTTAATGATGGTTATTCAGTCCAAATAAGACAGCACTCCATCCAAAACCAAATTAAAAAGCCACTTCCAATGAGGTATTCCAAGGGATAGTTGCAATTCTTGATGGGAGTTGAAGATGGTTCTCCTCAAGATGCCTAAATGTCTTTGAGACCATTAATGACAGTAGACTACAAATTTATAAGAAAACACTTCCAATAAGGCGATGTTTGGCCACCCTCCCAATCCACACAAAAGTGACCAAACTGGAACTTAAAGAGGTTTGATTAGATTCATAACTGCATCCATTTTTGTCCCAACAATTTCAAACAAGTCCTTTTCAACTTTACCTTCCAAACTTATATGATCAGTAACTTTCCCATACTTATTGTGGGTAAAATATAAACACACTGCACTTCTAAACACCTAGACTAAACCACAATTCAATGAAATGGCTACTATTATAGATAATATGATCAAAAGGAAGCCAAGAAAAATCGGTAAACTGATGGCATACCTTTGATGTAGAAACTCGCGATCCTTTGATGAGGATAACTAAATGCTAGTATAACTCATAATAATCTTATCTCTGGGGGAATATGAAGATTCTATTTTCATATGAGGCGTTACTTTACCTATCATAATATTACCTATTTGTACCCATGAGCCATGACCTCAATCTAACAATTCCATTTTTGTCTGAATTGCAAAGTAAATGAACATTTATACGTGGTATTTCGCTAGTGGCCTTTTCCGGACCCTTGACTTGTCACGTATGACTGAATTTCACAAAAATGTAAATATTCCCAATTTCCCATACACAAGACGCTCACTAATAAATACTGCATCTTTGAATGTCCCCTTTTACTCCACCATTCCAACTCCATCCAATAAATAAGGTCTGAGGATCATCATGGATAGATACTGAAGCCTTAAAGATTTACAGAGCTACAAGGTAGGGAAGAAGAGCTTGGAGAATATGAGGCTGGCATTTGCTAAATTAGAGCCTATATCATAATATCAATTCAGGCGTGAATGAAGATGCACATTTAGTACATACAATACAATCATGTGATTTGGTTGATAAATATTCCTGAACTTGGATACTATTACAACTAAATTTTTGGTTGTTGCCCAAGAAAGAATAAAACATTTAATATTTTCGACAAGCACAAGATTAGTAATCCTAGCATCTAGAATTCAAACCATGACTGCAAGTGGCTTCCTTGATAGACTCTTACACATGGACTTTACATTGATGAGATCCAAAAGAGCTAATAAAATCAATCAGCTCACATAGATATTGGTACTTACTTATTAGTACACACCAGCAAAGAATCACATGGCAACATACTCCAGAGTAGTAATGAATTCCCAAAGAAAAGAATATATTAAAATAAATTGCGAACAAAAAAAGTGCCCCTTTACGATAATACGCTAGGCTTAAATATAAATAACCATTTAGCTTTACCTATCAATCTATCATGCACTAACAGTACCATGATACAAAAGAACTACATGTTTGCTCACCTTTTTCTCTGCGGTAGATCTTAATTTATCCCAGAAGACATCTGTTACAATAAGTGGGAAAAATTCAAAACAGTTTGGCAAAATAGGTTCAATTAAAAGAGCAAGGTAATCACCGAATAACATCATCTAGCTTTTTACACATTTGAAGAGCAGCTAAATTATCAAAGAGAAGTGGACATATCTAAAGCCTCGTAGAATTCCAAAATACAAAGTAGAAAACAAGGTCAAAATGTTGGTATACAAATTTCGCATGAAATGTTTCAAGTTGTCAATAGGAAGATATGTTAAAATTACTTTTGTCAAAACAATTAATGCTTATTTGTGTCTTCTTATAATGAAAACAAAAGATACATTAATTATTGATGCGATAAGGAGAAAAGGGAGTGAGGAACAACTTATGAAAGCAAAGACACCCTAAGCATCTACAGATTTCACTCAAGCCATCAAAGGACCTGTCAAGCACTCAATAAACAATTATTTAATACCACTATTGGGCAATACCTTGGTTCTTGGGTTCTTGCTCTCCCCGAGCATCTTGCCACTCTGATACCTGAAGAGAAAATATGATTACATGAAGAAAACAAGCGAATTACAAAAATATCATTAAGCAAAATTATAGAAATAAAATTAAGTGAGACCACCTCCTCACTCCTTTCTGGTTGTGAGGTTGATTGCCCCGACGATTCTGAGTCCGCTTGCTTTATCACACAAGATTACAACATTAATCAGATGCAAAACAAGTAAAAGGAAAGACAAAAACAACACTTCTTAAGTTACTCCACAATATTTTCAATCAAATTTACTTCACAAAAGCCAATGAATTTCTATCTAAATTATGATCATAGACAAGCTTAATCACCCAAATATCAACAGAATAGAAACCAAGGAAACATTTTTATACTCCAACCATCTAAAAAATAATTCACATTGTCCCAAACTCTATAGTTAAAACATGAGATGATCTCTTACAAGATCTTTATATAGTTTTGACCTCCCGATGTGATAACTCATACCGGACATCCAATGTTCATACATGAAACTATAACAAAGTGAGTGCATACATATCAACTAAATACACATAGGCGTTTCATGTAAACATTTTCCCGATTTGCAAAGTTGATTTTTCTTTTTTTCTAATCCAACATTTCCTGCAAATTCAATAGACATTAAGTAACTAAACACAATTAAACTACTTACAAAAATCAACAAAAAAAAAAAAAAAAAGAAAAAAAAAACAAAATTCTCACATATAATTGCAGCAAAAGAAATTCGTTTTTTTACACTTCCCATAAAAATAAAATAAAATCATAGTATAAAACTACAGAAATTGAAGCTAGGGACAAATCCCATCAATCAGAATTACCGAAGCGAAAACCCCAACAAGAAAATCAAGTATAAAGCCCAAAATCAAGCAAGAAGAAAAAATTAAATTGAACAGAATGTAAGAAAATTCTAGGGTTTAACAGTGAGAAGAAGAAGAGAGAGAAATTACATAGTAATCTGGAGTTCGGACAACAGGGAAGAGGAGAAGGAGGCGTTGAAATTCACGCTCATCCATGCTGCTTGCAACTTTGGATCGATCTTTGGTTATGGAGTTGTTGTTTTGCAAATCGTTGATCAAATATCAATCAATATTAAATTATTGAGGGTTTACAATAACAAGGTCTCAACTTTGAAGTAGCGAAGTACAATAACAAGGTCTCAACTTTTTTTTTTTTTTTTTTTTTAATTTAAGAATAACAAGGTCTCAACTTAGTCACTTCACTAATGTGTAATAGGTTTACAAGAAACGAAGTACAACATGTCATCTAGTTAGCCGGTTAAAGTAGGTACCAAGAGTTAGAGAATAAATCTTGTTCCTATTGAATCTCATATACTTCCTCCGTTTTTTATTTTTTATTACATCATAGGGGTTTTGGAGGCAAAATTTGGTAGTGGGAAAAAGTAAGAGAGAGAAACGTAAAAATACAAAATTGTCCATGTAATGTAAGATAAAATAAAAAGTAAGTGTGAAAAAGTAAGGGTATGTTGGGTATTTGCAGTGTGAACATAGATATTTTTTATCCTAAAAAGGAAATGATGCAATAATAAGTAAACTTCCTAAAGTAGTAAGTGATGCGATAAAAAAAGAACGGAGGAAGTAGATAAACATGAATTTATGATTCACTCAAATTAGATTTGTTTTGATAGATTTTAGACGTTTTTATATGTGGTAAGAAATACGAAATACTTATGATACGAAGAAGCTAGAAAGACTAAGTTCAATGTATGCCTTTTTTAAAGTCTAATCATTTATATAAAAATGTTATGGATTTTTATTATATTTTTTTTACGGGAAAAAAAAAGTTATGGATTAAATATATGATTAGTTTTGTTTGGGTCATTTTTTTTTTTTTTTTTTTTTTTTTGTTGTTGTTGTTTAAAGAGCCACAAGAGCGGAGGTGAGAATTAATCAAAGGATCTCCTGAAATCGGGAGTGAAGTTCTAACCACTTAAACTATCCCTCACTCTCAAGTGAATTTTTGTATACCAATATTATAAGGAGGAATGGAGGATATTCAAGTTGATATCCTTGATAAACTCATTTGACAAGGAGAGGTTATATTCATAAAATCTATATTGAGCCCTCCCTTCGGCTTTTTATAAGTGCCTTACTTTTCAAAAGAGGTCGTTTTATGTCGAATGATAAAACCAATAATATTTACCTTTGTACGTGCTTTCTTATAGCCATTGACATTCCCTCGATTCTACCTTTCAATTGAATTGAAATCTTTTGTATAGAATTAATTAGACCTTGAATCATGCATTAGTGAGCAAAATGTTAATAAGAGAAAAATGAGGATTCCACCCCTTTATGTCAATACGTACAATTGTTAGCTACATATACATTTTATGGAAACATTTTGTTTTAGGTGCATAACTTAAGTACTTGATAGAATGTTTACCCAGGAAAAATACCAAAAGTTAATGGGGATAAAAGGCAGAGTTAGCAACACTACAGCTGAAATCAAAAGAAACAACAAATAAAGGACAGTAAATAGATAAGTAGCAACGTCTTGTAGGTGCTTGTTGGGATCTTTATTTGTTATCTTCCCACACCGACTTCTACTTGATACTCTTGACAATCCAAAGTAGAGGCTGCGCATGAGCTCTTGCTAATGTGAAAACATTACGCGATGATAACGACTTCATTGGTGTGATTTTGGATATCCGATTAGGAAATGGATGTTTTGGAACAACTGGCATTATTGGCGAAAATTGAAACCTTGTACCCAATGCGGGCTTCAAAGAAAAGCGGAAAATCAACTAAGCTGAGTTTCGAAATGCATATAAACCCATGATAAAAGGGCATGATTTAATTTTTTTAAAAAAACCTAGCTGCTTTAATGAGCCAATTTGGAATGCTTACCCCAACAAAAGAAAGTGAAGTTGATCCAGAGACATTATTGCGTTAGACAATACCTTCCTTGACAACACTGAAAAATTAAAACAGAAGTCATTATTAATTCATTGTTATATAGATTTAATCACATTAATTATATAAAGTTATTAGAGATAATTATTCGGATTAAAATAATAATAACGTACCTCGTCCCAGTTATAATCATCGGCCTCTTCCATCTCTATCTTCGACTACGTACAAAACCCAAACAGATAGAGCTAGGGTTGAAGATAGATGTGCCCTTTCTCTTTTTTTTTTTTTTTTTTTTTTTGAAAGAATAGCCTAATAATTCCTAATAAATAAAGGGTCCGAGTCGAGAGCACGCCGGATAGTATATTTTATTAGGCGTATATGGATAGGCTTAATCAATTTATTGTCGATATCAGCTAAACCTGACTTGACCCGTGACTCGAAAATGACCCAAAACCCCACTTATAAAATTTCATTATTGTTTTAAAAAAAAAAGTAGCTGCCGACTGCCGTGAAAGGGGTGGGGCTAGGGTGGTCGGCGCCAGATTTGGTGGGTCAAATCTCACTTTTCGATCAAATATCCCTTACAAAAAGAGGAGAAAAAAAAAAAAAAAACCATTTTGGGTCCTCCCTTGCCACTTTTTTTTTTTTTTTTTTTTTTTTTTAAAAAAGGACCTTTGTGACAAAAAAGTGAGCATAAAAGGTCGTTGTGACAAATTTTCCAAATCATGCATTAGTGAGCAAAATGTTATAATCAAGAGAAAAATGAGGATTCCTTCCCTTTATGTCAATACGTACTATTGTTTGCTACATTATATGGAAACATGCGTTTTAGCCTTTTAGGTGCATATATGTTTGCTTGCGAACAGTTTTTTAAAGATGTGCAAAGGCAAACACCGGAAAATAATTTAAATTTGTATATACAAACCCAAAGTAGTTATTTGCTCTGAAAGTGGAAATTAGTCAAGATACGCTACATAAAATTGCACTTTTTCCAATCATCAATTGTTAAGTGGGATGTATCCCAATGGTCTACACAAGGCATGGTATATGAGGTTGTTTGATATCTTTAGAATCAAACTTAATGGGGAATGCACTAGAGGCTTGACCCCTTTAATCAATGTGTATACAAAAATAAGAAATAAAAGAGACGCGAATTATAGCCTCTTTAAACTTTATCTTTAATACCATCAGAGCAGAGGCCATTACACTGCTGCAGATGTAAGTTCATCATATCTTACAGCATTACAGGTATCATATGTTGCTCGGCCTAATGCGATAGCAGTTTTAGAACCAGAAAGGCGACCCAAATGCTTGCAGATGAACTCTCCAGCAGAGAGCAGCTTCTCCAGGTCTACATTAGTAGTGATGCCAAGTCCATGAAGCATGTATACCACATCTTCAGTGGCAACGTTTCCTGATGCTCCCTTTGCATAAGGGCATCCACCAAGTCCTGCTACTGAGGAATCGAGTGTGCTGATTCCCATCTGTTTGGAAAGAAAAATTATCGACATAAGAATTTAACAAGCAACTGATAAGAAAATTCTCACACCCACCCACATCCCCCAAACAAAGTAAGCTCAAGTGTGTTCGAATAAATTCAGATATGGGAATAGGTAGGATATGATGATAAGGAAAATTTGAGTGTAAAAAAAGAAAGCCTAAGTCTTACCGAAATCAAACCCGTCAAACATTATGCAGTAGTAAACAAATACAAATCTAAACTCACCTGCAGAGACACCAAAATGTTTGGAAGAGACTGTCCATAGGTATCATGGAAATGCACAGCAAGCTTGTCAACAGGAACAACGGCCATTACAGCTTCGAGCATGGGAATAACAGTGCCTATAAAAAACGGAAGAGCACAAATGACAAATGAGAATTGAAGATCATCCAAGTCTATATAACAATTAAGCAAACTTGGAAAACTATGTGCTCAGTTTTTTTTTTTTTTTTTTGGTTAAACTGTTCATATATACATGCTGCATATACAAAGTTGTCAATGGAGGTGTAGAAAGCTACATCACTTTGACACTTCGTTATCTCTTATCTACCCTTAATGGACACATCGACACATTTTTTTTTTTTTTTTTTTTAGATTAACGAATTCTTACTTAACACTTCATAATTTACCCAAATACCTCATACATCATGAACCACGTATTCATAGAAATAATAGTGACAAGAAAGGAAAGATGAGAATATTACGGACTACAGATCAGAATATCAACTAGAAAAGCGGTCAACTTAAAGTGTGTCAATGTGTATGTATCTGTAACGTGAAAAGTACATGCCATAGTCTTACTAATGTTGTGTTCCCACACCCGTGTCCAATTTTAGGATAGTGTCCCATGTTCAAAATTTTTTGCCCTGACGTGTTTGACACTTGGATTTGTACCAATACCGAATACTCGCACCCATGTTTAAATTATACAGGTTGAAAATTAAAAAATTAAAAAAAAAATTAATAAATAAATATATATCAAAGATCGACACCTTTCTTTTCACACCAGACTATAACAGAGGCCAAGATATTAAGTTATGCCAATACATTACACAAAATAAGCTTAATTTCATTTTAAAAAAAAAAAAAAAAAAAAAAAACCTTCATGCAACGGAAAAGCATTCTCCATAAGGTAGCTCAAGAAGAGAAGGATAGATTGGATAACAACATTACCTGGTGTACCAGTGCCGATAGTATCACCAAGAGAGATTTCATAGCAGCCCATGTCATACAGTTCCTTAGCCACATATGCCACCTTTGCAGGAGGAATCGGCCCTTCAACTGGGCACCCAACAATACACGATACATACCTACACAATTATTTTCACAGTTAACATAATCGATTAGCAATATATTTGGTAATCCGTCACAAATCCAGTGAGCATGTCTAGCAGAAGAATGATCTTTCGAATCAGAAGAAGTGAGGCAAAGTGGATAGTATTTTAAGTTTACTATGGTGATGGAAATTGATAGCATAGGTAAACATGTCAATATTTTACATATATTGACATACACATCGGAAAAGAATTCAAATTTTCAGACAAAAAGTGTATGGGTGTAGAGCATTACCCACGAACTGGAATTGAAAGTTTTTTAGCTGCTGCAACAACAGCTCGATAACGAACAAGACTTTCATCAATGCTACAGTTTATATTTGACTTTGAGAAGGATTCTGAAGCGGATGCAAAAACAGCAATATCCTTGGCACCAGCTGCTATAGCTGCTTCAAACCCCTAGATATAAAATTTAAGAAACAGATTAGTAAAGCTATCCATGTCCATTACTATTAAGTACAGATGACAAACACAATGAAACTCACTAACTTTTAAATTCGGGGTCAACACAAGAAGACGAGCAGCATCCACATGATAGACTGCTTTCATAACATCTTTTGCATCTGAGAGCTGCAAAATAAAAGGTTTGCCTGAGGTGCCTGCAAATTTTGCAATATAACATAGAAGTAAAAATCAGTTAGAAAAAGGTTAATACCTGAGGTACCCATTTGGGCGAAACAAAACTTGTTGCCTCAACGACGGATAATCCAGCAGATACTAGTCTTTGGATCAATTCAACCTTTATATGGGTAGGCACCATGTTCTTCTCATTTTGAAGTCCATCCCTTGGACCAACCTCCACAATTTTAACATGATTGGGCATGCCGGTTACAACCTGCAATAATGTTTGAATGCCACAAAAATAAGCCGAAAATCATAGACCAAATCCACATCTCACAGAAGCGCGGGCATCAAAAACCACAACATCCCAAAATACCCAATTACCTTACTCCTTTTGACACCAGTGCACTTGTCATGATTTCCATCTGTCGTATGATTTCTACCCAGACTTAAGCTCCTCCAGCTGAAAGAATTACCATGAGTTTCCCTAGATTTCCTTCCCCAAAGAAAAGCTTCTCCCATATAATCTTCTGTATCCTCACTGCAACATTTCAAAAAGCAAATCAAATGAGAAAATCCTCCCAGAAAAACATTTGATATGAGATAAGATTATAAAAGAGCCCGAAGCTCACTGACCTACAGCTATTTGATGTGCTGCACCTGTTTCCTTCAATCCATCGAGCTCCCATGCCCATATCCTCTCCTCGGGGTCGACAAGAACCAGATGAAAACCTTCTATCAAGACTGCCCATGCTAGGCAACTTGTCAAAACTGAGGGGTTCCTCCAAACTTGACATTCTGAAAGTAAATGTGGGAAAGGAAAAAACAAATATATAAACAAATTACTCTATCGATACTTCAATAAAGCCATGTTCAACTTGTTAGCATCTTGGCTATAGGCTACAAACCTCACATACCACAAGCATTATAAGAGGTGTATCAACTTTGTCAAAGCAAAAGAATCAGCTAATTATAATCAATCAGAAGAAATCGAATAATGCCAACAGATGCAACATAAAAAAAAAAGGACCAGAATCACTTCATCACCCAATATTATACTGTAGTTTTGTTAACTTGTTGAGAAAAAGGTGAGTCAACTACCATTTACATTGCACACTCCATGTGCATGAACCAACACAGCACTCTTCATTCTGCCTGTTTTTGTTTAAAATTTGTTTGTTCTTGCGAATATGATCAGATTGCTCATGCTATTTTTCTCACTATTCATTACATTTCAAATGGTCACACTCTACACTATAAAAGCATTTGCCTCCATAAGTTTAGCTTCCCATGAGGGAAGTCAGGAGTTCGACCTCGACTAGAAGACTAATTTTGTTCATGTTTACTTATACGAGATTGTCAAAATAACATGTATGGATGTACCTATCACTCTATCAGACTCTTCCTAAGTTCCTATAATATTGATAGCAAATAGACAAAATAAGAACAATTTTCGCCACACCCCATTTCATAGCATTTTACAGCTGAAATTTAAATGGCTTACATATATACCATGCCACAAGTCAATATTATCAGTTTGCTACAGCATAAGCGCATTCAAAAAAAGACTTAATTTCTACCATCAATTCATTTCCATTTTATGCCAAACTTAGAAACAATCAACTTAAATGTTCTCTAATATAGCTAGTTCCACTTAAAGCAGATAAACTTCGCATTTTCAGCAAAAATCCAAGAATTCGCCAAAATGTATAGTATATTAAAACAAATTTAGCCCCAAATTTAATCAACTACTACTTAATAGATGTGCCAACACTTCAAACATTGACATTAATTCAAACCCAATAACTATATGTAAAAGTAATACTCAGCTATCTGCCTATCCAAAATTAAAAGAAAAATAACTTCAAAATTTAAGCAAAGCTTATTAAAATTTAAAAATAATAATAAAATATTAAAAAAAAAAAAAAAAGAGCAGAAAAATGTAATTACGTCCTCAAATTGCTGAATTATAACACCAATTTAACCAAAAACAAAGAGAAAAATTATTTCCCCAATTTGTTAACCTAATTTTCTCAATCCTCTGTTCCCAATCAAACAAACAGAGGAATAGGTACCCATCAAGATATCAACCAAAAAAATCAAAAACCCATAAAAATTAAACCAAAAACACACCTGAAATTGAGATAAAATCCCTGAAATTTCCTTGAAAATTGAACAGAAAACCCTAAATCTTCTGGAAAATAAGGGGAATTTTTTTTCCTCCTCTGCTTTTTTTTTTTCCCTCTAAAAATTAAATAATAGTGAATAATTTTATGGGTAGTTGAGGAATTGAAGAAAAATTAATTTAAAAAATAATTTGGAAAAGTGGAATACTACAACATGTAAAGAAAGCTAGTTGCTCATAAATCGTTCTTGGTGTTTGGTGTAGAAAATGAAATATAGAGAGAGAAAAAAAATGTGTGTTGATTGTTGAATGATTTTGGGGAATTTGATTATATGCTTCTTGTGGCAGTAAAATACTTTGTCCCAATTTAAAGGTTTCTTAAAATTGTTTTTATAAAATTAAAAAATCAACGATTGCCGACCAAAATAATTAAAAAGGGAGGGAAATTGGTGGGTGGGTAGTTTTCAGTTGGAAGTTGGTCAATTTCCATGCATTCTTTTTGCTCTTTTTAGGTCAATTACTCTTACATATACTGTATTAATATTATTAATTTTCAAAAATATATATATTAATATTATTATTATATTATGTGACTCTTGCTCTCTTGACTGTTTTGAGTGCATTTTTTATTTTTTACCCCTTTTGGGTTTTTCTAGGAAATTACCTAGCACTTTGAAATTTTGCATTAATATTAATAAAGGAATTTGGCAAATTTGCATGTAAATGCATATTTGATATTTCTTAAATTTGACACATCGAGCAAAGAAATTTTGTTAGACGAAAGAAATTCCTCCTCACAAGGGGAATTTTGGAGGAATTTCTATTGTATTAGAAGAAAGAAAAGTAAACAGACTTGAACTATTGCAAATATTAATTGAATAATATTCAAATTGTCAATTAATAAATGACTTACATTAGCAATCCAGTTTGTTGCGTGATTTGTCCTTCGTTAAATATGATGAATACTTGCCACTTTGATGTAACACTGTAGAAATAATATATACTATTAATCCACGAAAAGAGAGAGGGTGTGGGGAATATATATGATACAAAGATAGTGAATTTTGTTAACTATGTTAAGGTTTATCCATATATATTGAAATTAACTTTTTCTTATCAAAAAACAAATAAAAAAAATAAAAATTTAACTTTTGACTAGAACTCTCAAGTCAAAATGCATCTACTTTATTCAAGTTCATTATGTTTTGGAAACAAGACCATATTAAAGCTTCATAAAGCCTAGATAACATAGTACATACTCCATGCATAGTCCATACTTTTAACAAGGAAAATAATCAAAGTGTGTATGACATTGACCACTAACCAGCTGGTTGTAGGCTGTAGTAGTAGTAGACTAGTAGTAGATGACCAAATAAAGTTGGTGCAATGTGCACATCTTCATTAAATGAACTACAAGCAAGGATCATTTTCTTACTAGCATTTAGACAATCTTGATCCTTCTGACGATAGCACGTATACTCTAAATATTTTAGGACTGTCTATTAGGATGAATTGCCTGAAGTAATAATAAAAAGCGTTAGGACCAACTTAGTGAGTAGAATTTTAAAAACTTTTTAGGTACTAAAACTAAATGAGCTTATTTCTCATTCTTTTGATGGACATATATAGCTTTAGAATTTATATCAATTATTTTTTCAAGGAGCTATATATATAGCTATAGGTCATTAGTGAGATACTTTGAATTTTGTTCTAGAAACATTGATAATTCAATCAACTTCATCCAGTAAAAGGAAATTAGTTGGCCTATTTACAACATCATCTTTGAAGTGGAAATAGATATGGAATTGTGATTGGTCATCAGGAAAAAAAATAAACTGCTAGTCTTTTTGAGTTTAAAAAGACAATAAAGTATTTAATACGACTAATATGATCACAACTACGCATTAATCGTTGACTAATATGCTAGACTTTAAAGTGTGACAAGCGTGAATCTCTCATTTCGAATAGTGAGTGGGAGGTGGTCATCTCTCATTGCTATAGGGAGGCTAACCGAGCTACTGATTGGTTAGCAAACTACGACGTCATTGCAGAGGGTATTTTTTTAAGCGATCCCTTAAGGATCTTCATGTTATTTTATTGGAGGATTTGAGTGGGGTGGCATGGCATAGATTGGTTTCGGAGTAGTCTTGCAGTTCTTTGAATAAGCCTTTTAAGGCATTAGCTGTATTGTAGTTGTTTTTCTTTTGTTTGCGTTTGTTTTCCTCTTGTTTTGGGGCTTTGCCCTTCTTGGTCAAAAAAAAAAAAAAGTCAATGACTCCTAAGTATTTATGATCAAAAATACGCATTCATCGTTGACTACTACAATTACTTTTTTTCAATAGTAAATATTTCTTAGAACATACATGGTATACCAACCCGCCACCCGACAACCCCATTGTCATTCACACAATAGGAAATAACTAAAAAATTCAAAATTTACTCTTGACTTAAAGTAAAAAGGCAAAAGGTAACGAATACCCAATAAACATTAGATAAGACAACTAAAAATGAAAATATTAAATTACAATATAAATTAATTACAGCGACCAACACTTGATTTTAAGATGAATTCTCAAATTAATATTTTAAATGCTTGTCAAAAGCCGGTTAGCAAGATCCAAAGTAAAAGTAACCGAAGTAAGCAAAAACGTATTTTGCTCAAGCGTGGGGTTCTGTACTTATGTTCTGAAAAGCTTAAACCCTAACAATGGAAAGAGTAAAGGAAGATGAAGATGATATTGTTTGTTTGGATGAATCATTCTTCATTAATGACAAGTATTTTTCCCCCCTCTCTCTATCTCTCCAAACTAACTATCAACTGATATCGCTAAATGTTTAATCAATTATTTTGATTTTGTTTTTTAATTTTGATTTTGCAGTTACCAATTAACCACTTTTACATTCGGGTCTCAAGTTCTTGAGCTATTCTGCCTTAATTCAGCTTCAAGTGAGTAAATTTATTTTCAATTGTTAATTTTATCAAATGGGTTTTCTGGGGTCGAGTAAATTCACTTCCAATACTTAGTTTTATCAAATGAGTTTTCTGGGGTTTTGCAATTACTTATTTAATAAGTACTTATTTGATGTTGTTCAATTCACTTTTGTGCTGTAATTAGCTGCAATTGCACATAATTTTATTTGTATAATATTTGATTTCTTGAACTATTTTGCCTTCATCCAACCTCAAGCAAGTATATATACTTTCAATTGTTGGTTTAATGAAATGTGTTTTCTGGGATTTGGCAAGTAAATTACCATTTTGATGTTGAATTAAATATATGTGCTGACAATAAACTGCAATTAAGCATTGATATATATATATATATATATATATATATATATATATATATATTGAAGATTATAGCTTGTGAGAAACATATTACCAATTCTTAAATCTACAATGGAGAAGTAATACTGAAAATTTATATGTTTTGGAGCAGCTGATTTTGATCTGACAGGCCAGTTGGTGTGGCCAGGAGCTGTGTTATTAAATGAATACTTGTCCAAAAATGCCGAGATGCTTCAAGGACTATCTGTCATCGAGTTAGGCTCTGGTGTTGGTATGCCCAATTCTTTGATTGCAACTATCTTCTTTTAGTAGGAATGTAGGGTAGTAGAACTTTGTATACATGAATTGGAAAATATCTTCACCGTGTTTATAATGAATTGTAAGATGAGACTATGAATCTTGTTGCATTTGTTGTGATTGAAGAACCAATAGCTTTTACCTTATGAACTTCCATTCAATTAAAATATGTTAGTTTGTTATTTGCTACATATGTTTACCCTAATTCTCTGCTCTTCAGCTGTTTGCCTGTTTCGGTGGGCACAACAATGACATTGACTTGAGCTTGGTAATGTAATTTTTTGTGAAAAGAAAACCAAATGTGCCAACAATTTCTTAAACAATGCTCATACAACCGTTAATAAATTATGGTTGTGTAAATGATCACGATTCAAGATATTGAACATCTTATCATTTCGAGGCATTTGATGGAATAATGAAAAGAGGTTATCCGTTAAGAAGTTTGTTAATCTGCATAAAAGCCACCAGGCCAATAGGCCATGCCCTTGATAGGTTGATGGTTAAGAGCTTTTTAAAATTTTGTATTAACTTTTATTTGCGAAAGGAATTTATGCTATTCCCATGCTTAGAGATTAATCAGATATATTGCAGGTTGTCAGAAATCTATAATTTGTCTCATATTTATTCATTTTCTTTTACATCTGAAAGCTAAATGCGTAAGCAACTATCTACTCTTTATATTTATACCTTTTGTACTGTTTTCTAAATATTTCAAATTTCAACCCCAATATCACAGGTGTCACTGGAGTACTCTGTAGTAAATTTTGCAAGAAAGTTGTGATGACTGACCACAATGATGAAGTTCTCAAGGCAAAGTCATATTAATAGTTTATTGATGGAGATTTAGAAGCTTTAACCTTGGTAGCCTAAAAGTTTGTGTTATCTCGTCATGCAGATTCTAAAGAAAAATATAGATCTACATGCATCTTCTGAGAGTTACCCTTGCCCTGGTATGTAACAGAGACTTGGAGTAGCAGTTTGTGGAATGAGATATATCAGTGAACTGATGTGCTTCTATAATTACCTACTTTCAGATTCGGGGGCAGAGAAACTAGAATGGGCAAATTCTGACCAGAGAAATGAAATTGTGCAAAGATATCCTGAAGGATTTGATCTGGTTCTTGGAGCTGATATCTATATCCTATTCTTTTTCTTATTTGATCGCAAACCTTGCATATTAAAATCATGCAATGGTTAATAATTTCTTATTTGTTTAAAGGTGTTGATGTGGTATGTTTCAATCAGCTTATGTCGCTAAATAGGCTGAGAGACTGTTGATATGTGCAACTGATTGAGTTATGCTTTGATGTAAGTCATCAATGTCATGTCCCATAGCTTAATTTTATGACTATTCTCTTATAAAAGTTTTCAGTCATTACTCTTGCCTTATTTTTTTCGCGGGCACATGGTTGAAGGCCTTAACAATCTATAAGCTTCCAACAATCCAGTATTCCCTTGCTTTTCGATACAGTCAAGAGTCTTCTTCAAATCAGAGGAAAAGGAAGATGCAGATTCATTCTGGGTTATGTTTCTCGTGCCAAAGTGTGAGTAACTTCCTTATATTCTTGTGCATGCATACAACACAAAAATATTTTAAGCCATGTAGTTTGAATTGATCTCTCCGCAAAGAGTCTATAGTGTTGAGAAAATATTTGTTGGTGATTCATTTTCCTCTTCATGCTAAGCTTTTCATTAAACTTTGAGGTCTACCTAATGCTAGTTACTAGATGCAGAGGCATATAATACTGTAAATTGATATGAACTTATAATGAAACTAGTTATTATTGGTACCTTTTGGTTATCTCCCTTTTTTTCATAACTTGAGCTCAGCGAAAGAAGAGATAAAGGGCCTTTATGGAGAATGTGGTTAGAACTAAGAACACCATAGCCCACATAACAAATGCAAATATAGTAGAATATTTTGTAGAAATGATTAAATAATATTACAAACCACTCTTTTTTACCCCCCTTGTGTTTTCTGGATAATTATATGATGTTTTTTAGGCTAATTTCCCATATATAGATGAAGAAAGAAAATGATATAGACTAACAATGACTCTCTTAAGTCAACTACTCCAAAAGGAAATTATATGAATAAATTGGGATAGTAGTATCTGGTGTCTAAACTCTAAAGGTATTGTCTTTCGTTTTAAGCTGGAACTTTAGAGTATGTTCAAATGACTTAAGGTCTTCCTATGGAAGTACATGTGAGTTGTGAACTTGTGATCCTACAAAGCCCTTTTTGCTCACATCTTTTACCTTTACCCAGAATGGATCAGATGGTTCTTGATGAGGCCCGGGGACATGGCTTGTCCACAAAGGAAGTTGCTGGGACTCGTTCAATTGTTGGGAACTTGGAAGGGGTCATTTATGAGATTACCCTTTAGTAGATTTTACAATCCGACATTGTTTCAAAAGAATATAGAGGATGTCAAGAAGTCACAGCATTTCAAGTTTAGTTTTGAAGGAGCTTCAGCTTCAGATCCTAGACCAGATACAGCTTTCAGATAAGATAGTAAGCAAGAAGGTGCAGCTTGAGGTAACGACAAATTGACTATTTTCTTGACATAGGGATATATAGATAGTATTGTGAAACTCCTTTTGGTACTGTTAATTTTCTACATAAACAAGAAAACTATTTTATTGACTAAATGAAGAGATGTAAAAAAAAAAAAAAGGTTATTTTTGACATCGATGTTATCTACTCCGTATGTTTTTTACCTGAACTCCACTGCTGTCCTGCTGTGATTCTTATTGTTGCATCATAGTACCATCTTCAGAAGTTTTGTGAAGATGGAGTTCATCAATCATTCTATATCTTTCTAGAAGTAGATTCATAAATAGAAATAGCTCTTATATGCCGCTTATGAATGAAAAATCACTTTCTTAGTGACAATGTTGATTGGTATGAGCATAGCATGCATATGGAAATAGGCAAATAGCTGCTTTCTGTCGTTTTAGCTGTCATTTAAGTAAGATTTATGTAAGTGTGGGTGAAGCGAATGAAACATTCTCAGGGTTGGTGTCTGATAACCCGTACTACACAGTTCTTGAACTAAGATTAGGTGTTAAACCCAAATGTGTCCTGTCCTTTAGGCTTAAGTAGTGAGGACTAGAGCCGTTCTAAAAGCAGCAGTCTCTAATTCGGTCTGGGTCTGAAAATTCAACCCGAACCAATCAAAGTCGCTAAGAGAACTGTAAACCTACCTACCCTACATGGACCCTGCACGGCTGCACCTTAACGCGAACCAGACCACATTCTCAAATTCAAGCTATACAGTATACACATTGAAAATATCCTAAAAAGCATCAATTCTAGCCCTAAGAACCCACTTGGCCACTAGGACCAAAAGTGTGTTTTTATCTCATATAACTCCAAATCATTGATCTACAACTTGTCCGGCTGTCCCTACTAATGTGCACAACCTAACTTCAACAATTAACTACGGAGCAGTGTTTCTTTTTTTAAAATTTTTTGGGTGAAAAGACCCATATACCCTTTCCCACTATTTCTTGATTTCTTCCACTCATTTTCACATAATTGCAAACTCCTTGTTTTTATTTCATTTTGTAGGAATTGGGGTTTGATTGGAATTTGTAATGATAGAATGGATAATTTGATTAATTTCCATATTTGTTTAGGTTGAGTGGAATTTTAGGTGAGATTGGGGTGAATAATTCAACACCCTCTACCTACTCTACTCCCAAGTCCCAACAATACTATACTAAATGTTTTGTCCATTTTGCCATTAATGAATAAAGAGAGGAAGAGTTAGGTAAGGGGGTGTTCAAGTAACTTGTACTTCATATCATCATTCATGAATGTCAATTTTGATCAACGGCGGAATAATTGGGATTAGTGAGATAATTGGCACTCTATTAATGATTGGATGATAACGCGAATTGCAATTTTAATAATTGGGTAACTTGTATTATCAATTTATCAATCATGATTAAAGGACATACTATGTTCTCCATAGTCCATATTCAATATTAAGTACAAGTATATAACAAGCTTTGATTCCCTACATTTTGTGAATGTCGTACTATCACTGAGTATGAATTTTGCAAATAACAAGTGATTATGGTGACTAATATAAGACTCATTAATGTACGAGTACCCCGACATCAATACTCTCACCGTCTAATCCCCAAACTCACCCTCGACTTTCCCAACAAAATCCTCTCGCCGGAAACCACCCTGCACCACCACCACCAACTAAGTTAATATTTGACCATCCAATCAAAAAATCTAGTCAAAATTCTTCAGTAAGTGGCCCCCTTCAGAAGAAAAGAAGAGAAGAAGAAGAATAACACTACTTTCCAGGAAGCAAGAAGAAGCCATCAAACTTTGTACCCATTCATGCATCAGCATCCCTTACACTGTCTTGCTGGCTGCTACACCTAATCTCTCATTTATTTTATTATTAGTAGTTTTAATTATTAATCCTTAATTTCTTCACATGCTCATAATTTCTCTTAACCACCCTCACTAATCCACCATTATCCAATCCTCGTGTCATTCTTTAGTCTTGAGAGAAGACGAGCCTAATTCTAATCCGCAAATAATCACCCCTCAAAACCAAAAACCCACATCCATTCATGGATCAACAATAGAAAGAAAAGAAATGTTTCGTCTCATTCTTTTCCTCTTTCTCTCTCTTCTTTCTCTTCTTCCTTCATCAGCTCAAAACACATCATGTCCTTTGAATTTCACCATACTTCAAACTCTAGTTCGAGACGCTGACGTAAAATCATCAAACAATGTCGCAGCCAACTGTGGATACATCGCCGAAGGACTCCGGCTCGTCCTCTCCCAATACCTCCGAACCACCGGCTCATTCTACCCACCACTTAGCTCGTCCGAGTCATGCTGGAACTCGTACGACTCAGTCGTTGACTCGTTCCTACCAAACTTCAAGGTTCGAACCTCTTGTGGGTTCAAAACTCAGTGGATTTCCGAAGGTTGTTTGAACATCTCGACTCAGTCCGAGTTCGAAAAACACGTTCCTCAATCCGCTTTAAACGACGCCGTTTCGAACTGTAATCAATCTCTGGCAAATGGGTCTCCTTGTGCTTCGTGTCTCACGAGTCTTACTACTCTGCAAGCTTCGTATCTCAAATCGAAGGACCCTTTTAATGGTAATATCTCTGATTGTACTAATCTTCCATTGATTTATGCTGGTGCTGTGATTAATCAATTTGGACCGTCTGATCCTGGAACTGCTAAGTGTTTGTTTTCGCTGGATATTTCTTCGTCCAAAAATGGTAGCAATTGGAAGAAGAAATTGTTGATTTCGTTGATTATAGTTGTGGGTTTTATTGGGTTGTGCTCTGTTTTTGGTGGGGTTTATATGTATTTGAGGTTGAAGAAGAGGAGAGAGAAGATTGCTGCGAAAAACAGGTGGATTAGTCGGGTCGGGTCTGGAACCGGGCCGAATCTTTCGTCGATTGGGGGGAGTACCCATTTGATGAAATTCGGGTTTGATGAGATTAAACGGGCTACCAAGAACTTTCACCGCGATAATTTGATTGGTAGAGGTGGATACGGAAATGTGTACAAGGGTTTACTGCCTGATGGTGCTGAGATTGCTGTTAAGAGGTTTAAGAATTGTTCGGCTGCAGGAGATGCGAGTTTTACACACGAAGTCGAGGTGATTGCGAGTATTAGGCATGTTAATCTTGTGGAATTGAGAGGATATTGTGTTGCTACTACTAATTTAGAGGGTCATCAGAGGTTGATTGTGTGTGATTTGATGCATAATGGTAGTTTACATGATCATTTGTATGGGAATGCGTTGGAGAGGAAGCTAAGTTGGCCAGTTAGACAAAGAATCGCGCTAGGAATGGCTAGGGGATTAGCTTATTTACACTATGGAGCACAGCCTTCGATCATTCATCGTGATATTAAAGCTAGTAACATACTTTTGGATGATAATTTTGAGGCTAAAGTCGCGGATTTTGGCCTTGCTAAGTTCAACCCCGAAGGTTTCTCACATTTGAGTACTAGGGTGGCTGGGACTATGGGATATGTTGCCCCGGAATATGCCCTTTATGGGCAATTAACCGAGAGGAGCGATGTTTTTAGCTTTGGTGTTGTGTTATTAGAGCTGCTGAGTGGTAAGAAAGCTATATTATCGGTACCTGATGGGCAAGGGCAGCCATCATTGGTGACTGATTGGGCTTGGTCATTGGTTAGGAAAGGGCATGCTTTGGATGTCATAGAAGAAGGGATGCCGGAGTTAGGACCGGATTCAGTAATGGAGAAATATGTATTGACGGCGGTTTTATGTTCACATCCTCAGTTGTATGCTAGGCCTACAATGGATCAAGTTGTTAAGATTTTGGAGACTGATATGCAAGTTCCTTCTATTCCAGAAAGGCCAATTTCTTTCAATGCAGAGCTTGAGGATATCGAAAGGTCTGCTAGTAGTAGTGGCTCCGGCCAATTGTCGACTTCCGGTGGGTTTCAATCGTATTCATGGGACATGTAGATTTTGCTAGCCATAATGGGCAAGAGGAAGTAGAAGATCCTGCAACAAGCTTGAGATAATTTGTTGCTGTAATATATTCTTTCTAGTTTATTTGAAAATTTTGACCCCTTGTATTTGAAGTACACCTTGATTGTATAGGCATGCCCTTTTCTTTTTCAATTATTATTTTTTTGAAGTGGGGGATTTAGGTTAAACATAGTATCTTAAGTAGGAAATAATAGGAATGGATTGTATATACTAGAGGTCTAGGGTAATATGGAAGTTTAAAATTTAGCTCACTTGGTTCATGTGAAATTATATTGGCTCAATTTGGCAAACTTGATGGATGTAATGCATGTAATTTTCAAGTTTATATGCTCTCATCGGTCTAGAATTGAAGGTATAATTTAATTGCATAATGTAACAAGTACAACCATATATGGTGAAGTTTTTTCTTCATTATTCTCTTATCATCTTACAAATATTGTGAACTAAAACCATTACATAAGTTGTTACAAGTGTGCAATTGATGGAATTTGTCTTCCTTGTACCAACTCACAATATTATGTCTCTTTTTTTTTTTACTCTATTTTTCTTATAAAAAAACAAAACATATACTGTGAATAGCTTAAAAGTCAAACCATTGTATTAGATCGAAAAGAATAAATTATTTTTCATTTTTTCCATAAAATAAAGGGAGAACTATGACTTTGTCGACTATATATTCAATGACTTCGATTGTTTATGTTTCCAATGCTTGGTTTATGCACTCAAATGCATAATTTGTACACTAAGCTATGCACCAACTTGAAACACAACAACCCAATTAACATCACGCGTTTAACTATCAAAAAAACATATGAGTAAAGCATAGTACCAAAAATATACTCAGTAGATAAAAGTACACACACTTTAAACTAAAGTATAAAAACATAACGTTCAAACCTAAATACGGAGTACTTCGTATTGAGTAATTGTGTATATGAAGATTATGAACCTATAATTCAAATCCCAAAACATACATGTAGTATAGTTTAAACCCAAAAAAAATGTTGTTTTTTACCGAGTGCACCTGACTGTAGAGACCTCAAAACAACACCCGACCCGATCTGAAATCGACTCGAAAAATATTCGATTTAGATTTTGACTCGCGTGGGCACAATAATTTAGCTGACTTAACTTTAAAAATTGACCCGACTCGACCCGACTTCACCAAATTCGATCCGAACATCCGAATTGACACCTCTACGCCCCGAGTTCAGCGTTCTTATTTTTCCTTTCACATCTTTGAATTCTAGTGTTTTATGCTCGAAATATTGTTGTAAACTGCTAATTCCAGTTTCGTGTCGTGTATTCTCAAATTTCCATGGACAGTGTCCTTCTTCAACCCCATCAACAGCTACTTCCCCCACAAAGTTTGATGAACCCACTTTCTCTCTCCTCAAAACTTAAGCTTAAACCCAGAACCCTCTTCTCCAAATGTCTTCCATTCCGCCTTTTCTGTGCTACTTCCCAGAATTTAGAGAACCCCATTACAGAAATTCAACCTCCCAACGGTAAAGCTAGTGCTAATTCGAAATTTAACTTGCAAAATCTTAAACAAAATTGGTTGTCTTCTCTTTCAAATAATGAAAAAATTGATGGAAATGGTGGGTTTGATTGGATAATTGGTATCGACCCAGATGTTTCTGGTGCTTTAGCCCTTTTGAAATACGATAATTCTGTCTGTATTTCTGCCAAGGTAATCAAATTGGGGTAATTTCTAGCATTATTTGATTGATTATTCAATTGGGTAGATTTTTGTAATTATTTTTTTGCGCTAAGTTGTTCAATTTAGGTAATTTTTGACGCGTTTAATTGTTTTATCAGCTGGGTAATATTCTGTTTTCTTTGAATTATTGATTTTTATGCTGTGGTTTTAGATTCTACTGTTATTATTGTGGATTTGTGGGAGATGAGGTTGATACCACTCTATTTCTTGTACTCTTCTATGTTGTTGGGAGAGGTTTCTTTCCAATTGGGGCCTCAGACTTGATTAGTCGGAGTCTAGTAGGCTATGGATTACCGGGTGAGGTACCCTTGAGGCCTCAAAGTGTATTAACCTTCTGCAAAGTGGATGAAAGTGGCTGGCTGATTTATCTTTAAAAGTGGCATGTTATAATGTTATATATAGGATGGTTTTACTAATATAAGAATGATTAAGAGCAGGTGGTAGTTTCACTAAGAAAGTGAAAAAATCGAATTAGATTATCGTTTCCAGACGAAGGAAATATTTCATTCATTACTTGGAGGTGGTAGTAGCAATGTAGAAAACTGAACTAGAGACAACTAACCATTACTGTATTCTGAAAAAAGTGAATCTTTCTGCATGTAGTATGACTTATCTGTAGTTTGCGAACTAATTAGTGAATAATTACTCTTCCTGTAATGTAAATGAAAACTGAGACTTTGGTGTAATATCGAAAAAACTTATCAGGCTCTTTGAATTTTATGATGATCGCTGTCTAAGTTTTGTTGAAGTTAAAGTTGAGCTTTTGGTTACTTTACTTGGTTTGTGCATGCTCTTTAGTTTATATCAAATGTTTACTAGCATTGTTGTTAAACTATTCCAGGTTTTTGATTCCCCATTTGTGCAAATATCAGTTGGGAAAACACGCCGTAAAAGATTAGATGCGAAGTCTATTGTTCAGTTGTTGCAGAGTTTTGATGCTCCAAAAGGTATCATGTCTTGCCTTGGCCCATGATGACTAGGGCCTCTATCCAGATAACCATATGACATTTTTTGCTTTTGTTTTTCTTTTGGGTTTAATGATGTACAATCAAAAGGCAGTCTCTTTTTTGCAAATTATCGAACCAATTATTGTGGAATTATATTATTTGCATGATAACGTTGCAGTTACCATGACATTCTGTTTTAGCTGCATGTTTGGGTCAAATCTATGATCATTTAGTTTGTGGTCATATAATTGTCTATGGTTCATATTCATTCCTCTTCATGAAAAGCACTTTGTGGTGAAGAGCATTTTAAATGCACATTATTATCCTGGCGTGTAGAAGCACAACTGAACTAACACAGTCAATTGAAGGGAGAGTGAGGGGAAGGGGAAGGAGAGAAGTGAGCAAGAAGGGAAGAACTCACTCTCTCCCGACTCCATCCCTAAATAATAGGCCAGTGGTGATTGAAGGTCATTAAGGAATCTGGCTGAAATACCATGATTGTCCTTATTTGTGTAAGTTTTTACGTCTTTACCATGCCAGAAGATAGTCTTTCCTTGAGGTTATCATTAGCATTAAGGGTAGTATGGAAAGTTATATGCTTTCCAAACTAAAATTTGAAAGAGGGAGTATGATGCTTTCTCTTGCTCTCAAGATTTGCCTGCTGCTGTTGTCGCTCTAGCTCAGTTGCTCTTGCCATCCACATGTTATATTTCCCCATTTCATCTAATATATGATAGTAATGACTATGAATAACTACATGCAGCAAGATGCATACACATTTGTTAATGGAGCTATAGATAGTTCTAGTTTTTTTCTCTATCCTGTCTAAAATATGTATCTCAGTCTTGTACATTTGTTTTTCTTGACATAGTGATTCGTGGTGTTGCTTTTTACTTGGCCTTCTATCCATCCACCCCTTTACCTGCCATCTGCTCTCTTCATTCTGAACTTGATCTCTCTTCTTGCAGGTACTACTGCATATTTGGAGCAATCTATACCATTTCCCCGAGATGGAAAACTGGTGATTGCTGCTTTAAGTTTTTACTTCTGTCTTTTTGTTTGTGATACTTGACTGCCTACGTGTGTAATTTAGAACATGTTATTTAGCCTATTTCATACCTTCAATATATTGCAATTCACATAACATATTGCTTTTAAAAACATATTAAATTTGCATTGTTATAATGTTATGTCATTTATATTGTAACCCAAAAGTTATAACAGTCATTACCTCGTCTTCCTAATGAACAAGAGTGTAATATCTACTGAGTACTATTTGATAGCTCTAATACTGGCAGATTGTTGTCTTTTTTGTAAGATTTAGGGTTGGTGGAGTGGAGGATTTGGCTATGGGTTATGGATCGGAGTATTGGTTGCTTCTGGGTTCTCTGTTGTTCCTGTGCCGTCTAGTTCATGGAAAAGGGAATTTGAACTTGCTCGAAGCACCTCAAGTAAGGTGTGCCCAACTGTTATACAATATGATAAATGGAGCAACTTTGTACAAGTGTGTTAATCTAGCATATTCCCCACTGGATGAACATATTGTATTGTGTTTGAACATTTGCAGGATGATAGCAGGGAGCTTGCAGCACGTATATTCCCTGATTTAAGTTCTATGCTGAAAAGGAAGAAGGACCACGGTACTAATAAAGTCTTTAAATTACTATTTTTCTAGCATTTTTCTTAAGTTCTTAAAAGATGCATTACTTATGTTACTCGGACTCTTCATTTCACCTCACGTACCCGTGTCGGACCCTTGACACTTGGACATGGGTGGGGCACTTGGACACTTCATTTTAGTTCAAAGTCATTGAAATTTTTCACAAAATAGCAGGGTCGGACATTTGGACACGTGTCCGTGTCGGACATGGGTACCCGAATCCAAGTAACAAAACTTCATTTGTAGACATGGAAACTTTGTCGTTTCCCCTATGAATTAAACTGATGCTGATATGTATATGCTCCATTAGCCCATTCTTAGCCATCTTATGAAATACTAGTATTTTCAGCCAAATTGTATAGCTTGCCCGTTCAGCTAATTAGGAACCAGTGACTAACTTGGTTTTGAGAAAGATGCCCTCTTTTCTTCATCTTAGATAATATTTGGCACGATACACTGGTCCTGGTATATTTGTCAATTGTGCAAAACAAACTTAGTCGACTTTTTCTAAATTTTGCGCTTGGTATAGGATACTTGTGTTGAACTAATGCTTCCTTCCTTAATGAAATATTACAGAAATGATTCCTAAGTTTCTCTTTATCACTTGCTCACCCACAAGCCAATCACTGTATCAGAAATTTCCACTGACTTTAGGTGGCATTCTTTCTCTTTGGTTTTAAGAATGTCGCTGCATGTTATTGCTTGGTGTAGCTTAATTATACTATTGGTGTTTCCAGGTCGAGCTGAGGCTCTACTCATTGCTGCCTATGGAAAAGGTCATAAGACAAAGGCAGATGAATTGTGCATGTCAGACGACACTCCTGAAGTATTGACCAAGCTGTGTTGCTGCAATACGGAACAACAGTGATGCTTTCTTTGACATCAAGAGTGCAGATTTTTGTTTCTTTGAGGCATTTATGAAGTCGTGAACATTTGCCTCATCATATTTGCTACAGCTGCGCCTGGCATATTAGAGTAATTATTCATTAATGAAATTCCTTCTAGCTTTGTAAATACACCTGATTAGATGTAAGCATTTCGGAGTTGTCATAATTTCTACTAAATTCTTATTGAGTTTTATTTGGGCTGATCAAAATCCAAATTCATGTGTCGTTCAATCCTACTTTCTGCGTGGTCATTGCTTGGGTAACTTCAATTACGTGGACAAGTAAACCTCAAATGTACAGCAAGTATCTTCTAGATTTTTAGCAGAAAAGCTCTACTTTGTAAGCCTTCTAAGAGACTTGGATTAGCTATAGTAAAAAGAGCTGGTAGCCTGGTAATGAAGAACATCAGATGATACACCGGACATAAACATCCACCGGATTTCCTTGACATGTACCTCCTCTGGCCCTCCCTCGCCTATAAGCTTCAAACTCGATATCTTGTAGTATTAACTTTGAAAGTTATAGAATACAAGCTTTTGAAAGAAAACTTTTTTTTCAATGAGAAAAACCCTAATGAATCAGAACCTCTCACAAGTCGGTCAACGCTTGAGAGTAGAGAGGGATGTAAAGGACCTTAGTCCCAAACTCATCTTGTAACTTTGAGGTTACAAGTTCGAGCCCCAACATTTACACATGCTTGAGATTAGAAGGATTTCCTAGTCTCTTTTATCTACTCTCAAGCATTGACCTGTATAACCGGATTGAATAATCCGTTCTAGTTTCTAGTTTTGGTTCGGTAAAGTACTAAAGTCCGTCTCTTTCCCAATAAAAATAAATACTCTGTAACATTCTTTTGGATGTCAAGCAGTCAACTATTTTAGCTAGTTAAAACACTGAAGGATGGTACCTAGAAAGTCGAGATAAAATATATTATATTTTCTCTCCACGCCCAAAGAAGACTCGGATTAAAACTTTAACAACGAGGCTCATTATCTACGTAGTATATATATTTTCATACTTAATTTTAATTATCCTCGACGAGCATCTCCCAGGGACAGGCCAGCCAGGTAGTCAGTCAGTTAGAACTACATGTCTCCCTTTGGCACGACCGTACAACTCCGTGCTAAATAACACTCGTATTTGTCAAAAAACGAAGTATCCCCGTACATTATAATTGCTGCTACTTCGTAATTATTGAGTGCATATAATTTGCACTAAATTTTTAAATTTTATAATCAAAATTACCAACGTTTTTCATAACAGTTTAATTAGTATCTAGCATTAAGAAATGTCATATGATGTTTCTATCATATGCCAATTGCCAGCCATGTGTTGGACCATTTTATATTATAAGTTGTATGTTGTTTTAAAACAATTCTATTTACAGTATTTGATCTGTGATGTCTGTCACATATTCTATGCTAGATCTACATTAGATTAGGTTTGATTTCCAAACATATACTTGTACTATACATTATTAATCTAAAATAAAACGAAATGGTGGAGATCGATAGAGGACAGGGAAGATTAGAGATCGGGTTAGAAATTAAAGTGGTTGTATGTAGATCTATATACTACGAAGTAATATGCAACCTGATTAAAGAGTGTGCTTTTATAATGCTAATAATGTGTTTTTATTATGTAATACGGAGTAGTATTTTTTATTTATTTTTAATAATAAAATAATATGTGATAATTTTTATGATGTTTGTGCTTGTTTCTGATTGTTATTTATGTGTTATAATAATTTATGCTAGTATATAGATGTGCTTTTATTTATTACAAATGTGCATTTACTATAATGTTAGTGCCTTTGTTCAACATCTTTTGTTACAATAAAAATACTAAAACTAGCTTGGTTGTATGTAAAGCTACACATAACGGGATGTATGCTCTAATTTGTAGGGTTGGGACATTGTGATTGCTAATTATACCGAGTTAAAAATCAACCTAAATTTAATATAAATTAAATTTTTCTAACTTATTAAGATGGCTCATAATCATTTTGGGAAATTTCATATGATGCTAACATGATATATATGCCAACCATGTGTTGGACTATGTAGTATTATTGGTTGTATGTTATTTTAAAAGTGGACTATTTGTGTGATCATGGCACATATTCTATTGAGATCTAGATTAGATGACAGGTTCTATCTTAGTCTAAAATAAAATGAAATAGTGGAGAGAGAGTCAGAGAGAGAGGGGACATCAGAGATACAAGTATATTGTATATAACTATTTTTAAAGTTATTTTAGTAAAATTATGGTCATCGACCTTCGTAGGAAGAGTTGGGACATTATGACTGATGATTAATACTAAGTCAAAATTCAACCTAGAATTAATTTGTTTTAAGTTTGATCAAAATCATTTTGGGATAATAGAATCTTTAGCTTTTCTTGGTTTTCACTTTGCGTTCTACTATGTATGTTTTATCTTGTTTTTTGTCCACTTTTATTGTATCATTTCAACTTTGGTGGATGGTTTTTTTATAATGAAGATTCATGACATTCATGCTAGTCGACCCCGAATCATTTTGGACAACGAATTTGTTGTACGTTGTGGTTGTTGTTTTTAAGTTTGCTATCCAAAACCCATTTTTTTTTTTTTTTTTTTTTACATTAACAAAATCTCCAAACCCTTTTTGTTTTACATAAACAAAACCTCCAAACCCTTTTTAATTTTTTACATAAACAAGCCTAATTTTATTTGAAATCCAGCAACTTGAAAATTCTAGGCTCTTTTTACCTAACCTACTCGAAAACTAATTCTTTTAAAGTAATGTAATGGAAATACAAGAATATATTTTCTTGTAAAAATAAATTAAACCTTCAATTATTAGTAGTTGGTTTTGGCATGGTTTTTGTTAGATTCGGGCAGTTGGACTTGCACGTTTAATTTTAGTTATGAATGACTAAGTTCATAGTGATTTTTATATCTCGATTCCTGAAAATTACGAGTATATTAATGCACAAATTAAACATTGAAAATAAAGAAACTGTCTCAAATCATATATATATATTACTCAAACCCGAAATCACCCTATTACTCACAATTTATTCAAATTTGTATCATCAAATTCAAACCATATTAGGCTAACCAGTTTGACATGTCTAATTGCAATGATAAATTCGCCAATCCTAACACAAAGAGCAGTACATGCAGATGTTACATGTACCTTCAGAAATTACCGTAAAATCACTAATAATAATGCCCTATCACATCATACTACTCGTACAATAAGTACGCATACTACCTCAACTCCGTTACTTTTTAGTTGCAACAAAGGGTATTTTTTGTGAGATATAAAAAATTCCTTTGTTGCAACTAAAAAGTAATTGGGCTAGTAATAAATTAAAATGTTCTAGGCATTTTGATGATCAATTCTTCATCAATAAGTTCATCAATAAATGAATAATCATCATCATCATCTCCCAAATCTTTCTCACTATCTTCATTTCTTTGCCTCTTTTCACCTGCATGTTGCTTCGTTGTAGAGGATGATGACGACGATGAAGAAGAAGATGACCAACTCCCAACTTCATGTGGGAAGTTAAGTCTGGCTTTGCAGCCTCTTAACTCGAATGCTGCCCGATCATAAGCTCGGGCAGCATCTCTGTCCGTGTTATACGTACCAAGCCAAATTCTGTAGCCTTTACGATTAGGGTCTCTAATTTCCGCCGCAAATCTACCCCATGGTCTTCTCCTCACCCCTATATAGTTCCCGCGTAGTTTATGACTATTAGTAGCATTATCTTTAGTAGCTACCACTTTTCGTGGTTTGCTACAGAACACGTGAAAGGTTTCTTCGTAATCAATTCCTTCATCGAGTGATGATTGAATGTACTCTAGGAGAGGGTCATTGTCTGAATGAGTAGTACGACAATGACCCTCGTTATTGTTGAATGAAATTGTGAAAGAGGAAGCCCTAATATTATTGTTTGGAGGACATAGTTGTGTAGTGAATGAAGATGAGCTTAAGTTGAGGTTGGTCGGAGATGATGAGGTATTATGATGATCACCAACTTCATCGTTGAAGAGGTGATTCTCTATTAGTTGTAGGGCTGAGATTGTGTCTTGATTTAATGGTTCCATGATGAATGAGACACCGTCGTCTTCTAAGAGATAGACGTACTATCAGATGCTTTTACGAGTATGTGCTTTTTAGGTATATGATAACTTGGTAGCGAGAGGCTAATATGGAGAGTGATAATTAATAATCTCAATTATCTTCTCAATACAATTATCATATCAATTAGAACACCTGCTTTTATGTGCACCTAATAATTTACTTTATCGGTAAGAGTGTGTTGTTTAACTATCGGAATAATAACATGTACTTAGAAACGAGAGAGAGGGTGGTGGATATCTGGAAGCTTAAAGGTTTAATTTGAAAATGGGGTATATATAGAAATTTAAGAAGAAAAAACCTCATGAGCTAAAAAGTGTTGACTCTCAGGAGAGTCAACATGAAATTCCTTATTGACTTTGTATTGCCTGGTTGTTCAACAACGGAATTTGTATTATAATAAGTTATTCAATGTACAAAGTTTACTGAAATATAGTTACTCGGTCTATAAAATGGATATAGGTTGAATTTCTCCTCTTGAAATATTATAATGTGTAATATAAGAGCCGAAAATTATTTAAGCCATTTCACTTGAGTAGGGTGTTGTTTTTTTTATCAATTAGTGATTATTGATTTTAAATAAAGTACGTATGTGTACTTTGGGGGCATATAATGCGGGAAAAGTATTGGCGCATAGCACCTATGTACTTAGAAAGTGTATAGGATGGCACTGGTTTTCTAGTGGTACAATTCAAAGTACAAAACGTACGTACCACTTTGATTAAATGTACGAATGTGATTTCAGTGGTACATTTTCGGAGTATTAAATGTACCACTAGCACAGTTAAGGGGAATATTCAAGTTTTCTAATGCCTGATAAATTACGCTTCTGCCCTCCTATACACTTCGTTTGTCAATAGGTAGTATACGCTGATATGCACTCCATTATGTGTATACGCGGGTGTCACATGTAATGTAAGTGGATGGCAAAGCAATGCGCAAGCTAGCTGCTAGTTGTACAATTTAAATTGTCCATCACTGAATAATGTAACGTCATTTTATTAGGCATCCGAGGGTGAGATTAATTAGCGAAATTTTAACTGTGAAACAAGTGAATTAATCTCAAATAAAAAGACTATGTAAATTAATTGTTGCATTGTTATACTTGTTGAATAATTTAGAGTATTGTAGACATTATTCATGTTGTTTGGTTAATTTGCTTAGGCTAAAGTGTTGAAAATTAATTAAGCCAAGAATGAGAGCAAGGGTTATCTCGGTATATAAAAGTGGTCCTCCGCCTGATAGTCCACCCGGTGGAGCGCTCGGCAGGGCGGGCCTCCGCTCGATAGGGCGCGAGAGCGAAGAAAGATTAAACGATGTTAGCCGCCCGGCAAGGCCACCGTCGCCTGGCAGGGCACGAGAGCACCCAGATCTATCTGGGTTGCTTGGTTTCTCTCGCCTAGGCAAAGGCTCGCCCGACAGGGCGCGGGGTGTTTCTGACGGTTATCTTTGTTGTTTGCTTGGTATTTTGCTCTTAATATATATGATTGTTCATATGATGAAAAACACACATTCAAGAAAACTGAATATTGTTCTTCTTGAAAAACCTTTTGCAAGTTAATTTTCATCATCCAAATTCACAAAAGTTTATTTACATTGTATTGTAATCATCATGACCTTCGTTGTATCTCCTGAGTAAATTTTTGTGATACCCGGTTGTAGTATAGGGTCGAAATTATACTTTTGGAAAAGTGATTCCGTTGACACCTCGAAGTCTCTTTTCTGATTTTCCTTTTCATTGTTCTTTGTGACCCTTGTAAACACAAAATCCCCAACAATACTTGTACAAAGTACTTGTATTTATTTAATGATTTTGTTTCTTAAATTCACAACATTCAATCATGTAACAGATCAGAGTACTTTAATTTGTATAATTAAAATACATACTTCGTATATATAATTGGATTATATTATCCCAGATCTATACTAGATTATTAAGAGTATTATAGTTTGATTTAGTCATCTTAGATTCCTCCCTATTTATTTATGATTAAAAATCTTATATACATCTATTGTATATAAGTTTTTGCCTAAACATGTCCTATTGACCCGTAAAAACAGGTTGTAGCTTGCAATAATAGGTTTAGAACGTTCCAAGAAATTCTTTTTCTTTAATTTCACAAGGTGAGGGGGCTAATTAGAAAATAAATAAACTAAAAGAGTAATCTATGCAATAAAACTCCCTCACTATTTTTTTTTTCCTTTTTCTTTTTTTTACCATGCAAATAATAAGAGATCGAGGAAATAGAAAAACAAACCTTAGCTCAAAAATTAGCTTCAATACTAAAGTTCTAAATAAAAATAGATACGGAGTAAATAAAATTCTTTAATGTTTATACACCCCACTACCTTTTCTAATAATTAAGGGCTTGTTTTACATCCCTCTCAGTTTTTTCATTTTGTTAATTTTGCGAGTCATATGACTTAGGTAGAATTATGAGCTAAAAATGAATCATATCCGTAAAAATCATGTTGATTTTGTAAAATGACAACAAAAAACTAGAAACTGTCTTTTGTGATATTCACTTTTTTTGTTTTCAGATTTCTAAAAATAAAAAAATTAAAAAAAATGATAACAAATTAGTCCTAAGCTAATCTAATAATCTTTCTTCACAAATCACGAATTATATTCCTTACATTAACAGGGTATACTCTAGATTTATTAGTTAGATAATACTAAGAGGAGGGAATAGAACTACAAGTTGTCATGATTATTCTAAGACAAAGTCAACTACCCTTTCGAAAATATTTTAGCCTCAAATAATTTGGTACCTAGTATTGATCAATAAGAAGAAATTAGCAGATTAAATGTATAATTTAAAAATATACATACAAGTATTTTTCATCAGGTGAAAAAAATGGGCTTACGTACTAAACTCAATTATATGTGATTTATTATCAATGCTGGAAATTTCTATCGTAGCTAACAATGATCATTGTATTAGTACTAATTAATCTACTACGAAATACTAGTTAAGTAATTTCAATCAGATTAAGGACAAAATTATTGAATATCTAGAATAAGGACAAAATTTAATTATATTTTTGGCTTGACTTTTAATTCAATCCAAGGCATCTAAATAAATTTGACAGTATTGTTAAAACTTAATCAATGCTTGCGTTAGCTTGAATTTGTCTGCCTCAAACGTATGCTGACTTGCTTGAAATGTGTTACAACATGTATAATACATTATATATTAGCTTGATTTTTTTTACAGATTCAACCAAATACTAGATTTACTCCGTAACTAAATACTATGTACGTATACTACATACATAGTAGTAGAAATAATGATATGTAATTTATTAGGTTTTAAAACTATTCATGTTTATTGACTTCGATATTTTTGATAGGCAACAGATAATACAATTGTATACATCTTTCGTTTATTAATACTTGCAACAATTTGATCTTTGCACTATTTATATTTTGACTATCTCTATATTCTTGTGGGATCATTGTAGACTTGTGTCTTAATGTACATTATATAATTCCAAAATATCAATTTTTATAACTTTACTATCGAGAACAAATAAAATACTACTCCGCATATATATCTAAAAGTGAGAATTATACTCCATGTGTTCCACAAATATTGCAACAAGAATGAAATTATGCATCCCAAAACACATTTTATATGTTAAAATATATAATTATTTTATTGATCAAAATATATATATATATATAATTATATAAGAGTAAAAATTATAAAAAGTTGATATCGTGAAACGAATCTAACAAGACCCCACGTGACTATATTTTACTTTACGTATAAATCATAATTTATGGTCAAATAAGCATGATAAATAATGTAAAAATCCAGTTGTTACAATATAACTAGAGCGATGGAAGCATATAAAGTTTTGCAAGTGTTAAAAACAAGAAAAAGCACACAAAAAATCTATACTGGATCATAAACTATTAAATTTCCGTAGCTGATATTTATACGCCAATCCCTACAGCAATGCCATAAACTATTAAATTTCCGTAGCTGATATTTATACGCCAATCCCTACAGCAATGCCATAAACTATTAAATTTCCGTAGCTGATATTTACAAGGAATTGAGTTGAAATTCCATTATATAGTTCGTACCTTCTCTTATAAATACCACTCAGCAATGCCATAATTAAGTGATAAACGGGCTGGTCCACACCCGTCACAAGTAGAGGTGGACAGCGTGTCGTACTGGGCCATCGCGGGCCGTGCCTAAATCTTGGCGGGCTGTGTCGAGCAGGGCCACCATTTGGCACACCTCAGCCCACGGCACGACCCACGTGTCCGACGTGCTGTGTTGGATCGCCCATACTTTTTTTTAAAAAAAAATAAAAATCGATATATTTTTTTTTGAAAAACTTTAAAAATGGATTTACTATTTAAATAATTTTATTAATTTATATTTATGTTTGCAATTATTATATTATTATATTATTATTGTTCTTTTTATTTCTATTATTCTTATTTTTATTATTATTTATGTTATTTATTATTATATATTATTTATGTTGGAAAGAGCCGTTTGAAGCAGCGAATTATAGCCGTTTTGCACAGGCTGTGACGTGTAGGGCCGTGCTGCGGGCCGAATTACCGTGCCGCTCGCGGGTTCGTACCGTGCTCGTGCTGATTTTTCAAAATTGTGTTCACGGCACGACCCACTTCTCGATCATCGTGCCGTGCCACTCTCGTGCTAGGCCCGTGCCACCCGCGGGCCGGCCATGCCCAGCTCTAGTACTCACAATTGTCCACTATACAAGTGCAAAGAGGTTCTACCTCAAAACCATATGGCAATTGGAGGTTTGGCCCTTTAGCCTTATAAAGTGTTTGACTCTTTCAACTTTTATGAATGTGGAACACTTACATGTGTTATTTGATAGATATATTTCAACACTTCCCCTCACATGTAAGGTCTCTTTAACTCATGGATCACATAATCCTATTCAATTTGGCCCAGAATACTTAATGCCATTAAAGGTCCCAAACCATGGGCCTGGCAATACGCTCAAGCCATTAAAGGTCCCAAACCGTGGGT